GTAGAGCTAAGGACTATTTTCCTTCTTTCTTTCCAGTCGGGGGATACTTTCTCTATCTCAGCAATGCTTCAAAAATCTAATTTCTGGCAGCAGAAGGGTTCTTCAGAGTATGTGGCTTACTGGAATGCTAGAAATCCTGTCATCTGGTATTGTGGAAAAAACACTTAATTGAATAATGAATCTTAAGGTTTAATTCTGTTTTCACATAACTTTGTATGTATTAGCTATGGTAGTTCTCAGGAATTTCACTTACCCCCTTAAACCTTATAAAATTGAGTTTAATAAGATGTGAGTTAACTAGAAAATTTGGGATATGTTTGGAGAACTGGAAAGCAACATATTTACTTAACATTGTTAGTGATAATATGTGAAATAAGATGCAAGGCAGAAGTGTTTTTTTTTTTTTTTTTTAAAGATTTTTTATTTATTTATTTTGACAGAGAGAGACACAGTGAGAGAGGGAACACAAGCAGGGGGAGTGGGAGAGGGAGAAGCAGGCTCCCCGTAGAGCAGGGAGCCCGATGCGGGACTCGATCCCAGGACCCCGGGATCATGACCTGAGCCGAAGGCAGTCGCTTAACCGACTGAGCCACCCAGGCGCCCAGAAGTGTTTTTGCTATGTGGCTTTTGTTGTTTTCTTTTTTCTCACGTAAGGTAATATATGCTCAGTTGGTTTTCATAGATGCATTTTTTGTTGTTGCATTCAGTATAAAGTTAGTCACCTCAACCATGTGAATCTACACAGATTTGTCAGTTGATACATAAGAGAAATGAGAGGAATGGTATGTAATGAGATGAATGGTATATAGGTTAAGAATTTGCTTTTTCATGTAATTTGAAGTGGTTGGAGTCTACCTTTGCTTAATAGGGAATGGAGAAAAGTGTGCCATTGGGTTTTTTTCATACTTGAGAGCTATTTTAGAGGCTATAAAGTAAAAAGTTTTTGGAGCTGCTCTTTAATTTACAGGGACTGTAAATGTCATCTTTGTTGCTTTAGCATATTGACCTAAAATTCTTTTTTGTCATTTCACAATTAAGATGTGCATTTATTTGATTCTTTAAAGATTACAAAGTATATTAACAAATCATATCTCACTTGAGCCTTGGAACAGGTTGGTGGAATAGGCAGGGAAAGCATTTTAATTAGCATCTTTCTGGTGAAGATACTGGTTCAGGGGGGTTGAGTGATGTGCCCCAAGTCCTACGTTTATGTACATGGCAGGGCTAGCGGTAAAATCCAGGTCTTCTTACTCCTGTGTAGAGTAGGCATACCTCATTTTATTGAGCTTTACTTTGTTGTACTTCACAGAAATTGCAGTTTTTGCAAATTGAAGGTTTGTGGTAACCCTGCATCAAGCACGTCTGTTAGCACTATTTTTCCAACAGCATTTGTTCACTTCATGTCTCTGTGTCACATTTTGGTCATCTTGTAGTATTATTGCTATATTTATTAGGGTGGTCTGTGATCAGTGATCTTTGATGTTACAATTGTAAGTGTTTTAGGGTGTCACATAGAAGACACCCATAGAAGATGGAGAACTCAATAAATATCGCGTGTGTTCTGACTGCTCCACCAGCCAGTCGTTCCTCCATCTCTCTCCCTCTCCTCAGGCCTCCCTGTTTCCTGAAGTTAAACTTAATAACCCTACAATGGCCAATACCTGCTCAAGTGAAAGGAAGATCACATGTCTCTCACTTAAAATCAAAAGCTAGACATGATTAAGTTTAGTGAGGAAGGCATGTCAAATGCCAAGGTAGGCCAAAAGCTAGGCCTCTTGTGCCAACAGTTAGCCAAGTTGTGAAGGCAAAGGAAAAGTTCTTAAAGAAAATTAAAAGTGCTGCTCCAGTCAACACACAAATGATAAGAAAGCAAAACAGCTTTATTTTTATTTATTTATTTATTTTTTTGAGAGAGAGACGGGGTGTGAGCGGGATGGGGGAGGGGCATAGAGAGAGAATCTCAAACAGGCTCATCCCTCAGCAAGCAGCCCAAAGCGGGGCTGAATCTCACAACCCCAAGACCGTAATGACCTGAGCTGAAGTCAAGAGTCGGACGCTTAACTGACCGAGCCACTCAGGTGCCCTGCAAAACCACCTTATTGCTGATGCGGAGAAAGTTTTAGTGGTCTGTGCAGAAGATCAAACCAGCCCCAGCATTCCCTTAAGCCAAAGCCTAATCCAGAGCAAGGCCCCAATTCTGTTCAAGTCTGTGAAGGCTGAGTGTGGTGAGAGAGCTGCAGAAGAAAAGTCTGAAGCTCATAGAAAACAGAATTAAGGGTCGCCTGGGTGGCTCAGTTGGTTAAGCGACTGCCTTCAGCTCAGGTCATGATCCTGGAGTCCCAGGATCGAGTCCCGCATCGGGCTCCCTGCTCAGCGGAGAGTCTGCTTCTCCCTCTGACCCTCCTCCTTCTCATGCTCTCTGTCTCTCATTCTCTCTGTCTCAAATAAATAAATAAAATCTTTAAAAAAAAAAAAAAGAAAACAGAATTAAACCTTAAGATTCATTACTCAATCGAGGGTTTCTTCCACAATACCAGATGACAGGATTTCTAGCATTCCAGTAAGCCACATACTCTGAAGAACCCTTCTGCTGCCAGAAATTAGATTTTTGAAGCATTGCTGAGATAGAGAAAGTATCCCCCGACTGGAAAGAAAGAAGGAAAATAGTCCTTAGCTCTACACTGCAGTGAAGGCAAGACTGCTCTGAATGCAGATACCAATAACAGCAATAATATATAGATACTTAGAGGCAGGCCAGCATCAAGATGGTGTCCTGAGCCTTTAGTGTTCTGCACTGAACCTCAACGCTCAAGGAAGACCGAAGTAGTCCAAGGCTGGCTGTGTCTCTTGTTTACCAGCGGTAGCAAAGACCAATCCTCTCTGAAGAGAACACCACCACTTCATAATGCCGATGAGTTCTAAGGAAAGAAACTGTCTCCGTATCATCAAAGTGCAGGGTGAACACAAAGTGCTGTTACAGAAGCTGCAACAGATTATCCAGAAGATCTAGTAAAACAATTCGTGAAGGTGGCTACAGTAAACAAAATATTTTTAATGCAGACACGACAGCCTTCTATTGGTAGAAGATGCCCTCTAGGATCTTCATAGCTAGAGAGAAGTCGGTCTGGCTTTAAAGACTCTCTGTTAGGGGCTAATGCAGCTGGTGACTTTATATTGAAGCCAGTGTTCATTTACCATTCTGAAGATCCCAGGGCCCTGAAGAATTATGCCAAATCTACCCCGCCTGGATTCTATAAATGGGACAGCAAAGCCTTGATGACAGAACATCTGTTGACAGCATGGTTTTTTGAATATTTTAATATTCAAGAGCTTTAATATTGAATCTTTTAAGCTCACTGTTGAGACCCAGTACTCAAAAGAAAAGATCCCTTTCAAAATATTACTCCTCATTAACAATGTACCTGCTCACCCAAGAGCCCTGGTGGAGGTATGGGAGATCAGTGTTGTTTTCAGGCCTGCTAACATCATCCATTCTGCAGTCATTTCAGCTTTTAAGTCTTATTATTTAAGAAATACATTTCATAAGCTATAGCTGCCAGAGATGGTGATTCCTCTCATGGATCTGGGAAAAATAAATTCAGAACCTTCTGGAAAGGATTCATCATATAGATGCCATTAAGAACATTTGTGATTTGTGGGAGGAAGTTAAAATATCAACATTCACAGGAGTTTGGACGAAGTTGGTGCCAGCTATCATGGATGACTTTGAGAGGTTCTAGACTTCTGTGGAGGAAGTCACTGCAGATGTGGTGGAAACAGCAAGAGAACTAGCATTAGAAGTAGAGCCTGAAGATGGGACTGAATTGCTGCCATCGTGTGATAAGACTTGAATGGATGAGGCGTTGCTTCTTACGGATGAGCAGAGAAAGTGGCTTCTTGAGATGGACTCCTGGTGGAGATGGCGTGAAGACTGTTGAATGACAACACAGGATTTAGGACATGACATACCCTTAGTTGATAGAGCAGCGGCAGGGCCCGAGAGATTGAGTCCAATTTTGAAAGAAGTCCTCGTGTGGGTAAAATGCTATCAAACAGCATCGCATGCAACAGAGAAATTATTTGTAAAAGGCCGAGTTAATCGATGAGGCAGACTGCATTGTCTTATTTTAAGAAATTGCCACAGCCTTCAGCAACCACCACCCTGATGGGTCTGCAGCCATCTGCATGGAGGCAGGACCATCCTCTAGCTAAAACACTGCAACTTACTGAAAGCTCAGGTGATGGTTGGCATTTTTAAGCAATAAAATATTTTAAAATTGAGATGTGTACATTTTTATTTTAGTCATAAGGCTACTGCACACTTTAACTGATTATAGGATAGCATAAACATAACTTTTATATGCAGTGGGGAACCAAAAAATTCACCTGCCTAGCTTTGTTGGGATATTTGCTTTATTGTGGTGGTCTGGAACCAAACCCACAGTATCTCCAAGGTATGCCGGTTCCTTTCACTCTGTTAAGTTGCTCACAGAAGAGCGTGCAGTGGGAAAATACTGCTTACACTTTGTTACCCATCAGAATGGTTGCATTTCATGTCATTGTCTTACTGCCATTGCAATTGTTAGTGCTCTTGTGTAGTTTCCTGGCTTCTGGTTAGATTGCTGGGAGAATGAAATAGTTTTGGGAATGAATGGTACTTCAGTTCCTCATGTTAAATAGAGTTTTGCCCATTAGTTACTCCCTAGGCAGCTCCAACTTGTCTTCACCTGAATAGTATGTTACCGTTCTTGGAAAGGTGTGTCTGTTACTTTCTAAGAAGCTTGAGGGAGCTTCTGGAATTTCTCCATTGGGATGCAACAGTTCTTCCAGAAGCTCTGAATGTTAGGCTGATTGATTATAGAGATCTAATTTTGTTCTTACTTATTTAACAATTCTCTGAGTTACCTATAATTTATAAGGAAGGAGTTTTCAGAAAGCACAGTCATTGCTTAAGTATGTAGACATTCTTGTTTATAACCTTTTTTTGGTCTTTCTTTCAGATCTCGTGGAAGCTCTGAAGCCGGATTACGTGGCCCCCCTGGTCCTTTGGCTTTGCCATGAGAGCTGTGAGGAAAATGGTAGCTTGTTTGAGGTATTCCACAGCTTCCTGCTTTCTCTCAAAGCAGTACTTGTGTGTTATATGTACAAAATGATCAAAACATTAATATTTTCCAGTTGCTCACATTTGTAAACATCTGTAAGAGTTGATATCACTTGTGTATTTTTTATTATCATGGATAACTAAGGAACAAATGTTGATGAATGTCTTTCTTAGAAGAAGTAAAAGCACCTTCATACCTTCTGTTTATCCTTATTTCTTAATTTCTGGTCTTCTTACCAAATGAAAACATGGCTGGTTTGATGTGTTTACTCAAATAGAGAAAGTTTTATTTGGTTTGGGAACTTGGATGTGGAAGTAGAAGGACAAAGAGTAGGGTTTAGAGTCAGCGAGGCCAGGTTTTGAATTCTTTGTTTTGATAATTGCTGGCTCACTGGAATATCATACAAATTAACGTCCCTGAGCGTCAGTTTTCTTGGGTTCTTGTGGTGACAACTAGAAATCATATTTTTTTTTTTTTTTTTTAAAGATTTTATTTATTTATTTGCGAGAGAGAGAATGAGAGACAGAGAGCATGAGAGGGAGGAGGGTCAGAGGGAGAAGCAGACTCCCTGCCGAGCAGGGAGCCCGATGCGGGACTCGATCCCGGGACTCCAGGATCATGACCTGAGCTGAAGGCAGTCGCTTAACCGACTGAGCCACCCAGGCGCCCTAGAAATCATATTTTTATTTTTTAAAAAGATTTATTTATTTGAGAGAGAGAGGCATAGAAAGTGCAAGCAGGAGGTGGGCAGAGGGAGAGGGAGAGAGAAACTAAAGCAGACTCCACACTGAGCATGGAACCTGGCCCAGGGTTTGATTGCACGACCCAGAGATCATGACCTGAGCTGAAACTGAGAGTCGGACACTTAGCCAGCTGAGGCACCAGGTGCCCCGAAATCATATTTTTAAAATTTTGGCATTGGATCTAGTACGTAACAGTCACACTTCAGGGGCGCCTGGGTGGCTCAGTTGTTAAGCGTCTGCCTTCGGCTCAGATCATGATCTCAGGGTCCTGGGATTGAGTCCCGCCTTGGGCTCCCTGCTCAGCGGGGAGCCTGCTTTTCCCTCTGCCTCTGCTGCTCCTCCTGCTTGTGCTCTCTCGCTCTCTCTGTCAAATAAATAAATAAAATCTTGAAAACAAAACAGAAAAATCAGTCACACTTCAGTTGTAACTATTATATCACTATAGTAGAAGTTTAGTCTGGGTATCATATATCAGTAAACATAACTTATTATTTTAACTTTAAAAATAAACATTTCCATTTTTCCTTGTTGCAGAACTTTAAATGTTTATTGTAAAAATAAAAAGCACACATCCAGTGAGATCCAGTTTTCACTCCACAAAGTCCTTTTAGATTTCTTTATGCCAATTTATACATCTTTTATTTCTCATTTGGGTGTGATCTCTTTTTTCCTAGAACTGTTATATTTTAGATCGCCGCCCCCAACCCCTATTTTATTCTCTGTGGTAATAATGAACGTCTTCTATGAAGAATACTAGGAAATCCAAAAATATATCTTGGTAGCAAAATAAGCTGGCTTAGTTTGAAGTGAACGTTATATTAATCTGATGCATTTGAATAAAAAGCTGTTTAAAAACAGTTTGCATATGTCTAAGCAGAAATGTGTGCCCCCACTTCCTAATCACAGCCATTGAGTGTGAATTGTGGAAAATTAGAGGTGGAAGGAACTTTATAAGACCTTTGCAAATTTAGTAGTATTAAGCCATCTGGGGCTCAGAATTTGGTCTATTTGTCTTTTATATCATTAAGGAATTTTTTAAACTTTTTGTGTTTTATATTTACATTTATTATTAATTCTATGGACAAAAATCATACATGCCTTTGTAGAAAACTTAAAATATCCTGGGAAGTGTACAGAAGAAAATAAAATTTGTCCACATTACCCCTATCTAGATATAACTACTATTAGTATTTTTTTGTATCCTTCCAGGCTTTTATTAGATGTGCATCTTATATGAATAATCTCTTTTCTTAGATCTGCATTTTATATACACAGCCAAACCTATGCAGACAACAAGGTCATTTTGTAGGTGAAGTTTAATATGTGGTTGCTCTTTTACTATGTTGTGAACATTTTTAGTGAGGAACATTTGGTGTGCATGATTGATAGTTATAGTAAGAAACATCTGTGATATTCTGACTGAAGCCTTGAAAATAAATTTTGCCACTTTGTTTGCAAGGTTCTGAGAGGTATCTAGAGTGTAAGGTAGAGATTCTTTGGCTCAGTGCCTGGGGCTCAGTGCCTGGGAGGAGCTTACAGCTTGTTGCTTCATTCCCCAAATATGGTAAAATATGATCTCTCTCTTGTCTGTTACATAAAACCACTGTTGATGTGTCTCCTCTGCCAGCATCAGGACTGATGGGTCTATTGTAAAAGTTGTGGGCATATTCATACAGAGGCAAAGGGTGATAAAAAGCCATACTTGACCGAGAGCCCTAAGATGCGTTCTGTCTGCTGATACATTTTCTGTTGTCCTGTTCATGTGGAATTCTCATGATAAATTCCAGCACACTGTAGTTGTGCTTGAAGATTGACAACAAGATTTTTTTCTTTTTTTATCACTCTCCTCTGGGGATTCCCTTGCATGACCTCTGGAAAAAAAACTGATCTTTCCATGTAGCAGTTAATGTATTTGGTCATTTGCCTTCTCTCTCTAAAGATGCTTTATTAAAATGACTATACATAGTTCATTAAGTCAAGTCCTACTTTTATTTTTCTTTCCTTTTTATTTTTTTATTCACTAGAACCTTCTACAGGGACATGTTACTTTCACGCCTGTGTTGTGCTGGGCAGTTTTAATGTTTTATATTGTTTCACCTTCATGGTTATCTCATGAAGAGTAGTCTCATTATATTACATAAGGGGAAATTTGGATTTAGGGAATTCAGATAATTTGTTGAGGGTCACACAACTAGTAAGTAGAAGAAATTAGTACAAAGCCTTGTTTTCTGACTTCAGGCATGCTTTTCCATCAGTTCGCTTTTCTACTACCTTGTACTGCTTTGTATTTCTACTCTGATAAGATGAATGTCGCTCAGTCCTGGAGGTCAGTGGGCTTTTGTAGAGCTGTCTTCTTTTCATTCACTGTGATCTAGCCCTCTAATACTCTTATAGAGGTAGATGCCTGTTTTTCTTTCTTTCTTTCTTTCTTTTTTAAACATTTTATTTATTTTTGACAGAGAGAGAGAGAGAGAGCACAAGCAGGGGGAGCAGCAGAGGGAAAGGGAGAAGCAGACTCCCCGCTGAGCAGGGAGCCAAATGCGGGGCTCGATCCCAGGACCCCAGGATCATGACCTGAGCCGAAGGCAGACGCTTAACCATCTGAGCCACCCAGGCGCCCCGATGCCTGTTTTTCTAATTTAATAAATCTCTGTGTGATTCACTCTCGATGGTATAACTGTTTTTTCTTCTTTTTGGTAGGTTGGAGGAGGATGGATTGGAAAACGTAAGTCTCCTTCAGTGTTTGGTTTGCTGTACGTTTCTGTATTTTTAACCCCGCACATCCAACTGGAGCTGCGTAAAGATCTTGCCAAATGCCTCATTCTTGGAGTTCATGCATACATATTCACACTCAAACATGGTTCTACCAAAAGGTATTCTAAAATGTGGAAGCTGTTCTGCAGGCCTTTGGTATTTTCAAGAAACTGTTGAGTTTTTGTGGTTGTTTTTCCTGTCAGCAGCCCTTATTCAGGACTTGTCTGTTCCTTCAGACAGCACGATCTCTTTTTATATTGGTGTTTGTCCTCCCATATCTCTGGCGTCCCACATGATAGTTCTCGCTATTTCTGCAGAGAAGTGAGTGGGAGAGAGGACTGTTTGGAAAAGCTGGGAAGAGCCCTGTGCTAGATGGCACAGCGGGAAGGTTCTCCAGTTCCCTTATTGGATTCTTTTCTTCCTTGGGGCCATGAGGCAACAGGAGGTGACAGTGAGGAATCACAGTGACAACTTGCTGAGACAGAAATTGCAGTTGATGTCTGGAAATTATTCCACTTCATTCCAGTAGGAAACTCATGTTTCCTTTCTTCAACCCTCTCTTTCTCCAGCTTTCAAATCTTTTGTGCTGCAAATTGGATAATTGTTTCATGACATTTAAAAAAATATTGTGAAAATTCCAGTATCCCAAATCAAGTTTTCAGTTGGCTGCTGGTATCAAAGTTAATTATTTAAAAAGTGGTCATTATTGGAGGGTATCGTTATAACATAGAGTATCAATATTTTTATCATTAATGACCGTTCTTTTTGGTTATTAAAGTAACATACTATTTAAGCATTGTTCAGTATAAGTGTCTCGGGATATCCATTTGGAAAGAAAATCAGTTGTTGAAATAAAAATAAAAGCTTTTTCTGGGACTTTATCAGTAGGAAAGCTCTAGAAGCAGGCTTTTCTGTCATTGCCTGAAACAGATCTTTAGTTTAATAATTGTCGAAGTCTGACCATCGTGTTTAAATAAGGTTATTAGTGGCTATTTTATTCCTTGGGCTCTTTGAAAAGAAAATGGTGTTAAAAATTCTCCTCGTAGAACTTCTATAGCAATGATGATTTTTGTGCATCTGCCCTATTCTAGTTGACTTCCTGTGGAAAAGGAACAAGAGCAAAGGGGGGCGCGAGGGAGAATTATTTGGGGCTGTGTGATGTATTAATTTGGTTATCTGGAGTCTTTGACCTGTTATCACCATCTGAGTGATCTGTGGTCATGAAGTCAATCTTTTGGTGTGATTATGTATAATTAAAATTTTTCTGGTTCAGCCGCACATTCTACCTTTAGGAGTGTCTGGCATAGTCAGAGGAGAGGTTTTTCCCTTCAGCTTTAAATTTTTTTTTTTAATTCACATTATTTCAAGAAAAATACATTTAAAGGCTTGTAGTAAAACTCTTCGGATGTTAGAATCTGTTTTTCCCCCTGAATTCCCTTTCTCTTAAAGTTAAAAAAAAGTTCAGAGGGCTCAGATGAATTTTACTTTCTCTGTCCCTCTTAGACTCTGTGCTCAGTGTCTTCATTTTGTTTCTGTGACCAGTACGCTGGGAGCGGGCCCTTGGAGCCATTGTGAGACAGAAGAATCAGCCGATGACTCCTGAGGCCGTGAAGGCCAACTGGAAGAAGATCTGTGACTTTGATAATGCCAGCAAGCCCCAGAGAATTCAAGGTAGAGCCCCAAGTCCGTTCACTCCCGGCTGGGAAACCAGAGGCAACAGAGCGTTCTCTGCTCTTTCGGAATTGTGTCCTGTTTTAACTAGGGCACATTTTCTGCTCTGGTAGCTATTAGAACTCTTCAAATTTAAGATTATATATATATCAGCCCCCCTGATATCCATTTTCCTGGCTTGTTGTAATCCTTTTTTTTTTGGTGGGTGTCCAGGTTGGGGATGGTGTGAAGCATTCACCCTTTCGTGCTCCACGCATCTACTCCCTGTCTGACGGCTCATTTCAGAGTCTTCTGTTACCTAACCATATACTCTTTACCTCACCGAATTTTTCTCTATTGCCCTAAAAGTTCGTTTAGGCCAATTTTGTTTAGGCGTAGCTCTTTTCTGTCTGGCGAGTAGATTTTGCTTTGTTTTTAGCGCTTTGTCTTTGCCGCTGTTTCTTTCCCCTTCTCAAACGCCCCTTCCTCCCTTTATCACGTCTGTTAATTTTAGTGCTTCTTTAGAAATCTAAGCTCAAGCCCGGGATGTTCACCAAACCACCCCCATATATTTCATGCTACGTGGATCTCTCTCGGCTCAACCCTGACCACTTGGCATCTCATCAGAGCTGCTTTTGCGTCCTAAGTATGTGGTTTCTTAACTGTGCAGTATGTTCCTCTGGAGGCAGAGACTGTGTCTTGTAAGCACTGCTCTTGTATTTGGTGCCAAACTCAGGAAGGATTCATAAATGCTTGTTAACGTGAATTATTGAGTCGTCTGTGGTCTGTCACAGGAATAGCAAGCAGTAGAAGTCATATTTTTTCTAGTATAACTCACATATAGTATATGATGTTTAAAGGACTTTCCTGGGAAAGATAATGATTCAGGATTATTTTACAGACAAATCTTTTTCTTTTTTCTTTTAATAATTTTGTATTCAGTGTTTGGTAGGAGAATATATCTAAAAAACTGACTATTCTGGCTTTTTTTCCCTCCTTAATGACACTTTCCTGTCTGCTGGTACACTCACTGAAATTCTCATTGTGCTCTTTCTCAATCAGATGATAATAACATCATTGTTATGTCGTTGATGGGAGCATTTGCTGTTTTCCATATTTTGATGTTGGAGATAAATTTAGCCTGTGAATAACAGTCACCCATTGATGAAAAGGAATGGAAGGAAAAAGGAAGAAACATAAAAACTTCCCTCTGATGTCCAAGTTCCGCTTTATTGCCTTAAAAGTATTATAAAGAAAAAACTACCTAAATGAATCATGTAATTATAAATGAAAAAAATGCCTCTAAGTATTTGAGGTACAGTTAGAAGAAAAATCTCATCTTTTCTGTACAGCTGTTCTCATCTTACAGATGACACGACTAAGCGCCCCACAAATGCAATGATCGGTCCAAGCTTGCTCAGCATCTGAGCCGAGTTAACTCAGGCTGCCCGTGTCTGGGTGCCGTGCTTTCAGCCTGTAGCAAGGTGACTTTCAGTTACAAGCCTCCTTCTGGCAGCAGTGTGAGTGGGGGGGTGAGGGGACGATTCAGTGGCCCCAAGCCTCTCCATTAGTGTCACCAGGAATGGGAGATTTCCCCGATCACATCGCATTCTGTGGTTTGCTTAGAGGTTTTGTCCGAGTTTGGAAGGAGGTCCGTAGCGCCAGGGTTTGTTAGAAAAGTCCCAGAGTCTTTGGAATCTTATGGCCTATGTAGATGCCCCGTGAATCTCCTTCGTTAACCTTTAGACCCCACAGCAGCAGCTTCTGAACTCTGTCTGGAATCTCTGGTCATAGTGATGGTTTTCCCTGGAAGAATTTTTAGTACTGTCTTCAGAGCTATCACTTGAGACGTGGGGGGCTCAGGGGTAATCTTGGCATTGTTCCATCCCGGAGGAGGGGGCAGTGGTGGGGAGAAAAGGGAAGTTAGCTTTTCCTTTACCAAAAATTGCATGTCTCTGGTCGAGGGTCCCAGTCTACGGAGTTCTAAAATCTGTCAGAGACGTTGCAAAGCTCAGAACCTCCTTAGACTCATAATCCAGGAAGAGTATGCTGGACAGTGCCTTGTTCTCCAATGAAAACCCCCAGTTACCCTTGGTCTGTTTCAAAGTCTTTGACGGTTTTTTCCTGTAATAGCCGACCTCTCATTCAGTACTGTGGCAGGCTTGCTCAATGTCATAGGAGTGATTAGCGAGCACGTCGATAGCTTTTCTTAGTCACATCTTTAACAAAAGCATCGTTGTTGTTATTATTTCTTTAGAATCAATTGGCAGTATAATTGAAGTTCTAAATAAAATAGATTCAGAGAGAGGAGTTTCGACAAATCCTACGAGTCACGCAGCATCAACAGCTACATCGGAATTTGTAAGTGGGGGAGAGAAGCCTATGTTTTTTCTGAAGATTCTCTCTTTTCTTTTTTTCTCCCTTTTTTCTCTTCTTTCACACAAAAAATATTATTTTCCAAGCTACTAATTTACTGTTAAATAGGAAAGATAGATGATGACAAAACTTTTTATAAAATATGTACCTAATAGTTATAGAATTTGAATGAACATAAGGCTAAGATGTAGCCTTGTGTAACTTTTACTTCTTTTTTTAATTTTTAATTAATTTATTTAGTTAGTTATTTTTACTTTTGCTTCTTTAGTATAATTAGACAAGTATCTCACCCCGCCCCCCTCCCCCCCCCTCACTTTTTGGTACTGTTGTGGATAAGCCTACTTTAGTTACTCTTTTTCTAACTTTTTAGAAAAGGATATCTATTTAAGTGCCTCTTTGGAGCTTTTTTTTTTTTTTCCTCAGGGAAAGCATCAATAGATTGTATTTTGGAACTATTTCAACATGGCTGCAAATAAAGAGCCTCCCATTGTGTCCAAAATTCTAATAGAACTGTGGTTATAGCTCGTGAAGTTCACTGATTTACTGTCTCCCGTATTTAGCCTTTAAACAAAAAATTATAGTGCATAAATAGAAGAAATAAATCATTTGATGCATTTGATTTTGGAGTTCTGTGACTCAGGGCAAACATCGTGATAAAGTTAACAATCTAATTTTAACCCTAAGAATATGATCGGGTTATAAATATGATTTTACTTTAGAATAGGATTTGGCAAACTCTTTCAGGACAGGGCCAGATGATAAATGTTTTATAGATCACGTACTATTTCTGTCACATATTCTTCCTGTTTTTCTTTTTTTAACCATTCCTTAAAAATGTAAAAATCATTCTTAGCTCTCAGTCCTTGTTTACTGACTCCTGTTTCAGAATGAACATGGTCGACAGTTGGACATCATTCTTTTTTAACCTAATACATACTTTACACGTTAGCTAGACATATCATAACTAAGTAGAAAAATACAGTATCAGTGAGATAAGGGACATTCCTAGCAAGGAACTTAAGGTAAAATCGCAATTTAACTAAAACCATTGTGAGGCAGTCTCATTTACAAGCATTATGCAGTGTTTTGCTCATCTCTTTACAGTGAATTTTATACAGTAGCTCTTATAGGGCAATTCACTATCCCTATTTATGACACATTCATAATAATGATGATTTTTTTTGTATTTTTGAGTTGCTAATAGTTGCCGGATTAATAGGGCTTCTCACCATCAGATATAGGAAATTTGAAAATGAGACAAACTGTCGGTAAGAAGCAAACAATAAAAAAGTACTTATCTGTAAATGAAACCCTTTTCTACACATTTTCTGATTGTTTGCTATTAAAATATAATGAAACAGTTCAGAGACCCCATGGATTTCACCAACATGGCATTCTATTCACATCAGTTCGAAAGCAAAATAGGTATGCAAGCAGTTGGTAGTTTTGAAGAAGTTAAAATGTTAAGTATTGGACAAAAGTATCAGTGAAAAAATAATTTTCTACACCTCTCTCACAGGCTGGAGCCATTGGCCATAAGCTTCCTCCCTTTTCTTCTGCTTACACGGAACTGGAAGCTATTATGTATGCCCTTGGCGTGGGGGCATCAATCAAGGAACCGAAAGATATGAAATTTATATATGAAGGAAGCACCGATTTCTCCTGTTTGCCTACCTTTGGAGTTATTATAGCTCAGAAACCTATAGTAGGTGGAGAATTATCAGGGATTCCTGGGTTTTCAGTCAACTTGGAAAAGGTATGCGTAATAAGAAAACTTTATTTTGCTTTTTTTTGGTTTCTTTAAATATGATTGATCTCTGTCACATATGTGTGTGTGTGCATGCGTGCACATGTGTATTAATAAAATTGTGGCACTTGATTCAGGAATAAAGACTTAGCATATCTTTTGATTTTTCTTGAAGCATAAAAGAGAGGAGAGTTAGTTGAAAGGGCAAGCAAAAAGAAGAAAACAACAATTAGGTCCTGTGCCCCAACTGTGGCATCATGTTCTTAATTCTCTCTCTGCCATTTACTTACTGTTCGACCAAGGGTAAAGAACTTCACCAAGCTTCAGTTTCCTTGTCTATAAAACGGGGGTGATAATTTTTACCTGATGTTCCTGGTGAAGGAGTAAACCAGGTGGTGATCTGGGAAGAGTATTTGAGGCACAGAGAAGAAGTGTGGAAGGCCCTGAGGCAGGTGCATGCTTGGCTTGTTTTGGGAACAGCAAGGGGGCCAGTATAGCTGTTGGAGGAACGGGAGGGCAGTGGTAGGAGAAGAGGGCCTTGTGGTCATTAGAGGGATTTCAGCTTACCCTCTGATTAACACGGGGGCGGGGGGCAGTCTGTAGTGCTTTGAACGGAAGAGTGATAGGATCTGCCTGTGTTCGCTCACAGGCTCATTTCTGCTACTGTGTAGATTATATGGGAGCCCAGCAGAAGCAGAGAAACCTGTTAGGAGTCTCTTCTGTAATTTAAGCAAAAGGCTGGATGTGAGGGAAAGGAAAAAGGAGTCAATGATGAAGGTTTTTGTAACTGGGATGATGTATGTGCATATATGTCTCTATACATTATTTATGATTAATTACATATAACACGCTTAATATGTATAGTAGTTACATATAACATTATGTATGGTAAGGTAGATATATCCAATTACTTTAAGGTGGGCATGATCAGGAGTTGGTTTTGGACAGACTTGAGATTCTATTACTTATTCAGGTGGAGGTATAAAATTATAAAATAGGTAGTTGAATATGTGAGTCTTGAGTTTGGGGGAGGGGTCTCACTGGCGTTCTTAGGCTTTCAGTGCTGTGTAAAGACACCAGACTAGATGAAATCACGTAATGTATGAGTGTAAGAGGAGAAGAGCCTGAGCTCAGGGACCCTGCAAGTGTTGAGAAGGTGAAGACATGAGGAAGAATTAGCAAGAGAGACTGAGAAGGAATGGCTGGTGAGGTATGAGCTCTGACGAGTATCAGGAGGATGTGGTGTTTGAGAAGCAAAGTGAACAAATTGTTTCAGGAAGGAAGGAGTCGAACAACTGTGAGAAAGCTTTTGAGGTGGGGTAGATTTCATTGTTTTGGAGTAAGGTTCAGAGACTGAGCCCGGGGATAACTCTTAAATCATAGAGCTGTGAGCCAATTTCTCTGACTTTGGTAATTAGAGGACCCATTCACTAGAGGATCGGTTAGCCCATTGCTGCTCTGAATCTGTGAAAAATGATTTTATTTGAGCATCTGATGAAGTTGGGAAGGAGGCAAGAGATATGTACCAGGTGGTTTGTTGTTTTAGTCCCTGTCCCATGGTATTCTGTTTGGATAATTCAAGTACAAACAAAGCAAATGTTTCAAAATTCTGCAAAATACTCCTTCAGAGTTGGAAGGAGTTGGAACAATCATAAATGGTGTTCACAGTCTTCGGCGGGGAAGAATAGCCATCTTGAGTTGAAACCCCCGTCTTCCCAGCTTCAAGCTTCCAGGCCATGTGATACAGTGGACTGTCCTGCACTTGTCCCGTTTGTTCCCTTCTGGCTTTGGAGGAAGACGCAGAATTAAAGCTGTCCCCTGCCAGTGGGGTGTGGTCATTTGAATATGTGGGTCAGGTTTTGTTTTTCCTGTCCTATTATTTTCCTACATATATTGGTGTATTCTTGTTTCCATCCATTGAGGTTAAGGGGCTATCAAGTTACACAGTGTCCTTGGTATCTACTAATAGATAATTTAGAAGATATATCTTATGGATGCACATACATCTACGGCTATATCTATAGATATAGATAATTTATAAGATACTACACCAAGGAAATGTTGATCATGATAGTTTTTTACTTTGAATGTGTCGTAGGGTTTACTTTCGTGTTTTAGTTGAGTTGTTTGTATGTGGTATGTGTGATTTGAAATTACTTTACTTGCACTGGCCAGTTTGTTCATTTTTATTTAACAGATATTTATTAATTACCCAGTATGTTCCAGGCACAGTGATAAGCACTGGAAATATAGCCTAGTTTAGTGTTTGCATTGGCAAACAATCCATAATTAGCAGTCAACAAAGATTTGTGAACGTCATGGAAGGACACAGAGGTATCTTTTCTGCTCCAAAAGATCTGACTGTCTTTAGATTGGGGGACTGATTAATTTTGAATCATATGGTTAAGAAGTAGAAGCCAAACTGAGACAGATAATTTGGGGAAGTAGTGATGTGAGCATGTAGACAGTGAAATATCACTTGTGATTAGCAATATTCACAGCAGAACCTGTGAGACATGAAAGTCTGCTAATAAAATTTTGTTTACCCTGACATAGGTTCTCCACGGGGAGCAATACTTGGAGTTATATAAACCGCTTCCCAGAGCAGGTGAGTGCGTGAAGCACTGATTTCTTAATCATACCCTCATTTTATTTCCTGACTAACCTTCCATACTGTGTCATTGTGTTAAGCTGCTGCAGAGTGACTTAAATAAATCATATGGCAAGGTATTGAATGGCCTGTCAGCCATTAGAGTAAATTGATGTTAAGGAGTAGCTGTTTTGGTGACCTTAGACTTTGTCCTTTAGTAGCCTAATTTAATACATTACTTCAGAACACTGACAGGTTATCTCCATTGATGTATGTGTTGTTAACAAGTGAAAAGAGTCTTTTCTAAGTATGTGTGTTCTGAACTTAGTAGTTGTGTGTAATCAGCTATGATTCCTATGAATATGGTTTCTGATTCCTTTCTCGGGTATTTATGTTGGTAGTGATTTTCATAAAGCAAACCACATTAAAATACAGACCGAATTTCTTGTAATTAACTTTTTCCTGCTTTCTTTTCTAAAAGTAAAAAAAAGTAAATAAAATTCACGTCTGCCTTAATAATGAATTTTCTTTTCCTCAGTAATATGTTTGCTCAGTAAAACTGCTTTTCTCATTTTTCCACTGTAATTTGACAGGTTTGTTTTGTTTCACTGCTCTAATGTCAGCATATTGTCTAATTAAATACCATATAAGATGGAAAATACAAAGAAAGTGCTTATCATTTCACATTATATAACTTAGAGGTCAGCAAGTAGCTGGGCTCCTCCTTTAATGTTTCCCCAATTCTTCTTATTTTACTAAAAATTTTATGAGCTTCTCATTGCATAAAGCCGAACAGCTTTATTTCGGTGTTATGGCCTACGTTTCTGTGAGGCGGTGCCCGGCGGGTGGTAGCCACCTGCATCAAGTATCTGCTGGTCACCTGCCGTGGGCAAGGCACAGTTTTCAGTTTTGGATGAGTTCTCTAACCTGGCTACCTACTGCAACAGCCTGTTACTACATTATATTATATTAACTGTTATTTCATTTTATTTTATTTATTTTTAAAAGATTTTATTTATTTATTTGACAGAGAGAGACACAGCGAAAGACAAGCAGGGGCAGTGGGAGAGGGAGAAGCAGGCTCCCCACCGAGCAGGGAGCCCGATGTGGGGCTCGATCCCAGGACCCCGGGATCATGACCCGAGCGGAAGGCAGACGCTTAATAACTGAGCCACCCCAGCACCCATATTTCATTTCATTTTTTTTTTTTAGAGTGGGGAGAAGGGCAGAGGGAGAGAGAGAATCCCAAGCAGGTTTCATGCCCAGCATGGAGCCCTATGTGGGACTCGATCCCACAACCCTGAGAGCACGACCTGAGCTGAAATCAAAAGTTGGACACTTAACTGACTGAGCCACCCAGGTGCCCCTACCTGTTTTTTTAAATAAAATAGGAAGGTTTTGTGTGCGTGCAGTGTGGTGGTGGTGCTGGGGGCCATGGCAGAGGCCAGGACGGTCCCTCTCTGTTGTGTGTGCCACCAGCCTAACATGGGTTCACTTGGGAACTAGTGCTTTGAGGAAAGCAGAAACGTCTGAGACTTCTGCCTCTAGTAGGGATTTTAAATCTGGAGAGAGAGCTAGAGGCGTATACTCAGAAGTGATTACAACAGCAGTGCCTGGATGGCTCAGTTGGGTGAGCGTCCAGCTCTTGATTTCGGCTCAGGTGTGATCTCAGGGTCCTGGGATTGAGCCCCGCATCAGGCTCCATGCTCAGTGGGGAGTTTCCTTGAAATTCTCTTTCCCTCTCCCTCCGCCCCTTCCCCTACTTTCACATTCATGTGCTCGCTCTCAAAAGTAAATAAATAAATCTTTAAAAAAAAAAAGATTACAACTGAAAAGACATATGAATAGGAAGGTGTGGAAAATAGATCTGTCAGCTTCTTGTACCTTCCTAGTCTCAAGTGATGTTTCTCATGAATTATTTTTCTTCAGTAGCTTCTGTACATTTTCTTTAAGTAGTGTTAAAGTTTCCTGTCTAGTAAATAGGAATATTCAAAATCTGAGATGCTTAAGTTTTAGAACCTCTTTAAACTGTGGAAAATCAAGGTGTGACTGCTATTTATGATCTTCCCTTAAAACTTAGGTGATGAGACAGGACCACAAACATCGGGACACTGATGTCGGCGTCTCTGTGTCTCAGTTGGCTCACTTGTTAGCTGTGGTGGCACTGTCAGAGGCTGAGTGACCCCTCCTTGGGCTAAAAAAAATAAGCATTAGATTGAGTACAAGAAACCTAACGGCAGCACTTTATTTTCCATCTAGTTCAGGATATGCTGGTCCCTCGATTCTCTGGGTATTAGAAGTTTGATCTTATGTTGCTCCTTGTTGTTTCAAATGTAGTGACTTAGGCATTCTGTTTCCTTTTAATGTTGAATTATTCAGCATTATATTGAAAATTGTTTCAAAGCATAACTTTTTATTCCTGAACTTACAGTGGAAATTATGTTACATTCTCTCCTATCTGGATGCAATAACTTGATGGTCTGCAAAAGTGTCTGTTTATTTATTTATTTTGCTTTTCATTTTAGGAAACTTAAAATGTGAAGCAGTCATTGCTGATGTCCTAGATAAAGGATCCGGTCTAGTAATTCTTGTGGATGGTAACTCACTTCCAGTTCTTCTCATAATATTGTTAGATTAGTAGGCCTTGTATGTAACCTAATGCTTCACCCTAGAATCTGATCAGTGAGTTTGTGTTCATCTTCTAGTTTGTGAGAAAACAAGATAAGCGTTCCAAAAATTTATAAGTTCTTAGAGAAGAAGCAAAGATGGGGAGAAAGAGCGGGTTGGGGTAGGGGTGGGAAGACGGGTGTTTCTGACACAGGACCAAAGCACAGGGGTGAGAGGTGTGGCAGGTGTACAGAGCATGGTGGTGAGCTCAGCTCGCTGGACTACGGGCTTGGTGGGAAGGCACACATCGACAGCCATCGGTTGATAGTGAGCCGATGTTGTAGATACTCTTGTCTTTGTTAGCTCTTTGGAACTTGGAACGTATTTGACCCCTGAGTCATTTTCATAAACAGTAGTTAGGTTCCTAATGTTGCGCATTCAGGCCTGTTGAACTCAAATGTGGCTTCACACCAGAGCCACATTTTATTTGCAGTGGGGAAAAAAAAGGTTACAGTAGTTTAATAAATGTTGAAATGCTAGTAATTAAACATCAGCTAAAGATCCATCACTTAAAATTCATTTATCCTGAAGTTTAAGAAGATAAGAAATAGATCTGTATTGTTAAAAAATTTGGAAATAAATTATAGTGGAAAGTTTAATATTGTCTGATAGTTGGAATATAGGCTTCATCATTTTTGTTCTAACTAGATAAATAGAAGGTTTTACTCTATATGCTGTTAGAGGAGCCTGTCTTGTTTTTACTAAATAATATGCTGAGAACAATTTTGATGCTCTTAAGTGTTCTACTAAATTGTTTGTGTTAACTCATAGAATTTCATCGTATGTCTTTTCTCTCTCTTTTTCTCTCTCTCGTCTTCCTCTTCATTCTCCCTTTTCTGTTGTAGATTTTTGTGTTTTCTTGTCATTCCTGAAGTTGGCTAACATTTGGCTTCAACTCTCCTAGTTTTCTTTTACTCTTCTCCCCGTGCTACCAAATATGTAACATACCACAAAACAGAGGTTCTGCCGTGACCTTAGCTACCCTGTTTACTCTTTTCTTTTGACCTACACCACTGATCTAACTCCAGCTTGGTAATGGGTAATAATATATTAGAATTTGTAGACAAAGTGTATATGAAATGAGATATCCAATTTCCTGTGTAAGGAAGAGAAAAATCTTATTTTAAATACAAATTGCCATGACCTTCCTTATTTTTTATTGTAATTAGATTTTTGCTTAGTCTGTCATTCAGAGTCATATTTCTAGTTTTCTAGAGCTGGAGATACAAGATAGTACTCAAACTCTCACTGGGAAATTAGTTAGTGGAAAGAGGGACAGTTGTCCCATTACTTATTCACTGACTTGCTCACTCATGTCATATATTTGTTAATTTACTCATTAATTTAATAAATATTTATTAGGTGCCTTTTCAGTCCCAGGTACTATTCTGATTGCTGGGAATAGGATGGTGAGGAAAATGCCCATGATTCTGCCCTCCTGAATCTTACACCTTCATTCTCACTATTTCTTCTTTTACACTCCAGGCTCTTTTTGAGTCCTTTGGCAGAATGTGTGAATGTTTGAGAGTGTGGGATTTTTGGAAATGTTTGAGATGGAGAGAGTTGAGATACGATAGGCAGTTGAGGAGTTTTAAGAAGAGGTGAGAGAAACTGCTGTTTCATAATGAAGAGAGGATTTGTGAAGATGCTCTTCACTCTGCCTTCTAGAGACTGGTAGTGAATGAATTAAAATCATGCTTTGTAAACCAGACTTGGGCATCTTTAAATTACCATACCTTTCAGTAACTGGATTTTGTTTTCGAAACTTTGAAAGGAATCGCTGATGATATATTGCTAACTAGTCATGTCTTTTGAGAATAACTTTATTTTTTCTTTCATTTGCTTTTCAGTCTATTCTTACTTTGAGGAGGAACTTGTATGTTATAATCAGTTCTCTATTTTCGTTGTTGGCTCTGGAGGCATTGGTGGAAAACGGACGTCAGACAAAGTCAAGGTAGGCTCTGGCCTTATAAGCAAAATATATGGGTATTTAAGTGTGCTTATCTATATTTTGAATGCACATATTACTATATGTGCAAACTACACATATTATCATATGTATAATTTCGTAGCATAGGTCCTCAGTAATTCACACTTCTTTGAATCAGAGTATGCTTCTTGGATTGGAAGTGTTGTTTATGTGTGGATATTTTGATTGGTAACACATGATATATATAGAAAAGTCTGGCTGATAAAAATGTAATGTACCTGAGATAATTATGGGAATATTTTTACTTACACAAATTTTATAGTACCCAGAAGTCTTTAGAAAAACCCAATGCATGCAAGTGATCCTTGTATAAAATAAAATCTTTATTAAATGACTTAAGCACTTCTTTTATGTAAGACAATGCTAGTTATTCTTTAGTTCTCAAATTCTATCTAAAAACATTTTTTTCTAAAAATACTTTATAACTTGGATTTGACACTAATTCAACCTGGGCTTTACCTCAAACATTTCCAAAAATCCCACACTCTCAAACATTCACACATTCTGCCAAAGGACTCAAAAAGAGCCTGGAGTGTAAAAGAAGAAATAAGGTTTGAGGTAATAAGATTCTACTATAGTAAATAAATGAAGTATACTTAAAGCAGTATGAAGAAACTGCTTCTGGAACAACGGTGTGAGGAGTTCCCTGGACCCTCTCCCCAGTGAAACGGTCATGGCATCGTAACTGGTAAAAATTAAAACAAACAAACGTTTGAAGTGTCTGGGAATTGTCCTCAGGGCATAGAGCAAATGATGAAATGTTTATCCTGATAAGGCAGTGAGACTCTGTGGTATTTGAGCCACAGACCTCCCCTTTCTCCCTTGTCCCCTGGTTCAGCCTGGTGGAATCTCCACTCCAGGCGTGTGTAGCCAAAACACATGATCCGTCTGCCCCAGCTTCCAGAATAGGGCCATGCTGTCTTCCCAGGAGGAGGAGGTCACTAGTTTTTCTTACCCCGCCGCCACGCCCGGCTTGTGTTGCTGAAGCTCTTTGAGGTAGGAATAGCTCAGGGTCAGGGGATTCTTGTCCTCTCTCCAGCTCCCACGTAGAAGGTGGGGCTCGGACCCCACTCCCTCTTGCCCCAGCTTGCAAGATTCTGGAAGAGGGAAGCTGAGGAGACCAGTAGCTACTTGCCCTGCCCAACACCACTTCTCGTAAAGTGAGGCTGTCACTTGGAGATAAGCGGGCCACTCTCTTTGCCCCTCCCCCTATCGCAGTTGAGGAGGGGTTTTGCCCAGGGGGTAAGGCAGGCTGTCATGATAAGAGATGGCTGAGGTTCTTCCGAGGAAACTGACTCGTCATGGAACAGAGTATTTGGAAATTCAAAAGTAAGGGTGCCCACAGAAACTAGATTATGTTAGTGATAAGCAATCAAGAGGAGGCTGGTAAGCTCCATGAGAGCAGGAAGCTAACAACTGGCCCAGTTAGAAGTTTACTAGAGAGAACCATGGAGAGGGACCTAAGGAGAGCCCTCATGGGATCATTAAATCTCAAAGCCTGGCTTCAAAGACTAGCTCTGTGAAGAGGCCTGACTTCAGAGCAGTTTATGTCCCACGGCACTGTTAAAAATAATAGAGCAGTCATCCGGCATGTGGAGCCTAGCAGTTGGGTATTAGGATACCAAACGAGGCAGACAATTGAACAGAGAGATCTAGGAGAGACAGTCGCAGAGACCCCTGCTAATACCGTGGAGCTCCCGGGGTGACTGCGTTCTTGCCTGAGGCTGCACCTCTGAGGAGCACCACCAGGGGCTGCTCACGGTGGGGGACGTAGACTTAGCTAAAACAGGCTAGCCAAGACACTGTACAAATAAACTAGGGTCCGGTCACCGCAAGCCTGCCGAGGGGAAAGGGGGTCAGTGTCCGGAGTTGCTGTAACAGGTTATCTAAAATGTCCAGTCATCAACAAAAAATTACAAGACACACAAGAAACAGGAGCACATGATCCAGAGACAGGAAAAGAAAACCAGAACAAAACGGGCAATAGAAACTGCCTTTGAGAGGTCTTTTTCATAGACGAAGACTTCCAAGCAGCTGTTCTAAATGTGTTCAGAGATAAAGGAGAGCATGCTGAAGGAAGTCACATGGGATGGCACTGACTCTCAGAGAAAATCAAGAAAGAGAAGTTATGTAGCAGCACCAAACAGAAGTCCTGGAGCTGAAAGTACAAGGAGGGAAAGGAAGAATTTTCTAGAGTGCTCAGCAGAAGATTTGAACTGTCAGAAGAAGGAGTCAGAAAGCTTGAAGATCTGTCTCTCTGTCCATTTGTCTACCTACCTACCTACCTACCTACATCAGTCTCAAGAGCAGAGAAAAAAGATGGAGAAAAGAAAAAGAATGCAGAGCCTCAGGGAAATGTGGGATACCTCAAGTAGAGCAGCTGCGTGTAGTGGGAGTACGAGCGAGAGAGCAGAGAGAGAAAGAAACCGGCAAAATGTTGGAAGGAATACTGGTTTTGATGAAGAACTTTAATCCACACATCCGAGAATCTCAGCCAACTGAGAGACCCACACCCTTAGTAAAGTCCATTTAAAGATGAAATCAATTCAGGCTTGAGTTGTTCATCTAATTCTTACAGTTATTATCACCTTTTGCCCTGGGAGAAGAGTCTTCACCTCTTTCTTCTTTGTGGCCCAGAGAACGGATCCAGTTGTGTAATTCCTTTCATTAAATGGGTCATTTCAGGGAAATCACACAGATGAGGCCAGCAGTTAGGAAATTTTAAATGTTATCTCCTGAGCAAGAAATATTTTTAAAAGCTTTTTATCTAACTTGCTGATTTTATTACATTGAAACATGGCTGTTCATCAAATACCAGTTTGAGTAAAGAGAGTAACTGTTACTCTATTAGTATTTAACGTGTGATGTTTTTGATTTCAGGTAGCTTTAGCCGTGCCTAATAGACCTCCCGATGCTGTACTTAGAGATACCACCTCACTTAATCAGGTAAGATTGTAGTTTCCAAAAGTGATAAAGCCCCTGTTTGCTTTGTTGGCAAGGGCTTAAAGAGACTGCCTCGCTTAGTAGTGAAGAATTGCATTAAGACCTTGGCGAGCAGGATAAAAAGGACTAAAAGGCAAATTTTAGTCACCTTTTTCTCTTTCCGGAAAGAAAATTGAGCTACACTGCTTGAAAACGGATTATTTTTAGGCCAGTTTTAGTGGACAGGCAAAAATAAAGCATCTTAGGAAGGGTAGGTGGTTTAATCTCTTTTGTTTGGCATAAATAATTTGTTTTCTGATGGAGGAGATAAAATCAGCTGACAGATTCTGTGAGCATGCGAAGATTGATTTAAGAAACAAAAGGTAACCATGAAGATGCGGAAGGCCACTTTGTTTGTGTGAGTCCCGGAAGAATCTTCCCTGCAGTGGCCAGAGGACAAAGCATGCAGATACAGAGCAGAATACATAAATATCTGATGGTTCTCTGTAAGGGAGCATCTGTAAGGACAGCAAATTATTTATAAGTTTATGTGGTTTTTGATGCTAATTTTGATATGCTTGATATGGGAACTTCTGCAGGATTTATGTTTGCAGGCAAATAGAAATATAATTTCAGGAGCCAGAAAGAATTAAGATCAGTAAATATGTAATTGTATTTTTTTTTTCTGCAGTATGGAATCAGGTGATGGAAAGAAGAACACTTTTTTTTCCCCTGAGATTCGTTTTTGCCTTTCAGTGTTTTTCCCATCCCCATTTCTTACCCATTTCTTAAGAATGCACCCATATTTATGTTTAATTAAAGCATCATAGTGAAATTAATTTTATTAAGGCACTAAAAGGACAGAAAAGGCTTGGTGATTTCATGGTTCAGAAAACCCAGCAGTGCTCCTTTATTATTCTTGGGTTACTGAAATAACAAAAGGTATCTGCTGTAGATAAGAAAAGCTGAATAGTTTCCAGGGCTTGAATTTCAACACACAGTAAGTCGAGAGATTTTTTTTTTTGTTCTTTTACTCTTTTTCAGAGAAGTAGAACTTTTCGTTAGTGTTCAGCAGAGTTGACTCTTTTGCTGTGTGATGAAGGGCAGTTTTTAAGTTAACAAATATTTTTGGTATAAATAACGGGCACCCATCATTTGACAGAGCGTTTTGTTCCTTATGGTCATTTGAGAGTACGATGAAAGCCACATTCTATTTCTTCAAAAGCCATTTTTCATAAAACTTTGCATACGCTTCAAGGGATTTAGGGCTGTTTTAAACTGAATCGGTGCCATAGGAGCTCCAGATCAAGTGGAAGAAATGCGATCTGTGGTCAAGGAGATGAAAGGACACTTGGATACTCAGGATGTCAATGTCGGAATAACTAGGGCACCTCTTCCAAGCAGTGAACGATTAAACGCGGGCTTTGAATCGGTGCGTAAGTGCTGTAGACATTCTGAGAAGGGACACTCATTAGGGAATGGTGTTCGGAAGGTTCTGGTGGGAGAGCTGGCACTTAGCTGGGCTAACGTGGGGTGTAGCCAGAGATGTAGGGCTTGCAGTTTGGCCGGGCCGGGGATAAGAAGTAAGGAGAGCTCATTGTAAGAGAGGAGGAGAGCATGATGCCGTACAAGGGGTGAGAATGGGAGCGACCACATGAGACAGTAGTGGGAGGTGGTTGTGGATGGGCAGATCCAGAAGGAGAAGTGGAAGGAAGGAAAAGATGATGCAATTATAGCATCAGCTCTGTGCTAGGTGTTTACGTTACATCAGTAACTTTTTGGTCACTAAGGAAACTGGCAATCATATTTTTAGCTCTACCCCATATCACTTCTGGGACAGTCTGTTTATCATGTCTTTAGGAGCATTTCTTCATCTTCAAACTGGTATGACATTAAAGGTGTCCTCTGTCGTTTTTCATAATTAGTAAGTAGAAAAGGCATCCTTAGTAATCTAGAAAGACAAGAAGAAATAGATGTTAGATGTCAGGCTTTACAGTTGGGGAGAATGAAGACAAACATCTAGTTGCCCCAGATATATATTTCATACCACTTATTCTAACATTAGCTACTATCATTATTAAATAGAGTTAGTCTTGGGTATATTGATTATACCGTCCATTAAAATATTTTTTATTGAGTTACCAGGTGTATAATGAGTAGTACCTTTTTTGTTTGTTTTTTATGATTCTGTGTGTTGCCTGGATGTTCCTTCTGCCTTCACTCACATAGCTGTTCTCCGATGGTGGCTGGGCCGGGCCAGGAGGTCCAAAGTGACATCTTTGATAAGTGTAGGGTCTTTGTGCTGATTTCTGCCCAGAATGCCTCTAAACTCCGCAAGGCCTCTTTCTTCATGTGATGGCTCATCTCCCAGGGCCTTTCTCTACTACGGCCCTCAAGGGGACCAACCTCTGTTTAGATTTCTAGAGCTCTCTTCTGTAGCTTCCCCCTCTCCAGTGCAGACACATTCCAGGGACACAGTCTCCCAGAGCTCTGATCTTTATCTCTTTAATTCATTGAGATTGTTTGGCTCTGTTTGGCTCTCCCTTTTTGCCCTGCAGTCTGAAAGTGTTGTCCTGCAAAGGCTGTGCTCTCTTGTTTGTGTCTCTTCTATCAAGAGACACAAAACTGCTCGCTCTGCAATGTCGAAGAACAATGCCCCCCTTAGATTTGCAAATGATTATATCAGTCCTTTTGCTCAATGTTGCCCTGTCACCTCTGGGTTGAATAAAGCTCCTCCTGTGGTAGATTCCCCAAGAAGGGCTCATGTGTATAGTATTCCTTTGGTTCCTGTGTATTTAAAACCGTTTTTCCATACCCTAGATGCTTAAAGAACAACTTGGTTGGATATGAAGTCTTGAGTTTCTCAAAAATGGTGTTCTGTCGTTACCTTGCTTTTATATGTGGCTTTTGAGAATTTTGATGCCAGCCTAATTATCTTTCTCTGAGTTACTTGGTCTTTGTCCTTGAAGCCCTTAGGATATGTTTCTTTATATATGTGTGTATATATATATATTTTTTTTTTTTTTTTGAGAGAGAGAGAGAGTGAGTGAGTGCTCGGGCAGTGGGGAGGGTGGAGGGAGAGGGAGAGAGAATCCCAAGCAGGCTCCATGCTCAGCGCAGAGCCTGATAGGGCTCTATCTCATGACCCTGAGATCATGACCTGAAATCAAGAGTTGGACGCTCAACTGATGGAGCCACCCAGGCGCCCCTATTTTTCTTTATCTTTAAAGCCTAATAGTTTCATTATAATGGCTGTGTCTCAAGTGTTGCCTGTTCCTGGTCAATTTCCCCATGCCGCTGGTAGGCCTTTTTAATAGGTATATTTACATCTTCTTTTCTTTTCAGCAAGTTTTCTATAATTTTAAATAGTAGTTCTCATTCATTCTTTTGTTTTTCTTAAGTAGTTCAATTTTATGTGTGTTGGATCTTTTTCTGTCTTCTTTTAGCCACTTTGTCTCTGCCTTTTTTACTTCCTTCTTGGTCTCAGTTCTGTTCTCTTGGTTCTTTCCCTCTCTTTCTTTTATGTGCCATATAAATTTTGATTTGCATATGTTTCCCTCTAGGCATCTTATAATTTTTTTTAAAGATTTTATTTATTTGAGGGGCATGTGGCAGGCAGAGGGAGAGAGAGAATCTCAAGCAGACTCCCCACTGAGCACGGAGCCCCATAAGGGGCTTGATCTCACGACCCTGAAATCATGACCTGAGCCAAAACCAAGAGTCAGATGCTTAACTGACTGAGCCACCCAGGAGCCTGTAGGCATCTTATAATTTATTCTTCATTACTGATAGAATTTCCCCCCTTCCCTTCCTTTCCTGAGTTTAATCCTATCTTATTTCATTTCTTCATGTTTGTTGTCCATTTGATGTTCTTAGTTTTTGAGTTTTAGATTCATGGTGTTTGTTTCATATTCCCAAATGCTTGAGTGTTGTGTTATAGTTTTCTTCTGTTTGGTAGTTGTTTTGTTTGGGGAAATTTCATTTATTGTAATGCTTTGGTTCTTATTTCCTCTGTTAGTCTTACAGTAGCTTTCTACAGATGGAGGCTGCTTACCTGTTTGCAGTTTGTGGGTAAGATTGGTAGTTTGTAATGGTTTACAAAATTATCTCATTAAGGAATTCAGGACTGCCCATTTCGTCAATGCGGCAAAGTGTGTTTTCTTTGAGAGATGGCTTTTTGGAGTGGGACATTGTCAGGAGCTGTTTTATTAAAATCATTTTTTTTTTAGTTCTCTTTATCTTAAATTTCCTGTCTTGCTTATTTTTTCCTACATTATCTAGTTTTGAAAGCGGACTTCTTTGTTTTATCTTCTTCTCCCCCAGAAATGTTGCCTTTCTGGACTGCCACTTGGAGGCCTATACACTTCTAATTCTTTTCTTTGTAGTCCATGTTCTCATCTTTCAGGATTCTCCTCAGGACTTTTCTTTTTCCTTAAGGGGAGCTTTCTGGAAGTGATTTTTCTTTCTTTTCCTCTCCTCTCTTCCACACTGCTTCTGCGCTCCCCTTCTTATCCCCTCCGCTCTCTCCTGTAGCTTTGAGAGGGTGCTCAGAAGGTAGCTCTGCTGGAAATTGGTGCTTATTTTTCTGCTGAGAGCAATTTGAAGTTGGCAGTGTTCTCTGTCTTCGGTTACTGTCTGTAGGCTTGGGATCTGTTTTATTTGTTCTTCGTGTTGATTTGTATGCTTTTTTGGAGCATGTGAGGATTTGGCAAGTACACATTTCTGAGCCTTTTGATTTAGCATTTAGTTTAACTTAATGATACAATTTTTAAAAATAAAATTAAGAACTAATTTCCTGATATGTCGAAGAGCCTCCCACTCACATATAATACACAAGTAAGGCAATTTAGAGCTGTTTTTCTTAGTTGTGTGTGTACGTGTGTTTGTGAGTTTTAGTGATTTTTGTATCTAGACAGAGATGAAACAAAAAACAAGATTTTAGCTTTCCTTCTGAAAGTTGAAATATGAATGTCTGTCAAAATATTCAGAAAGTAAGCCTTGACGGTGTTCCTTATTATTTGGAAAACGGTTATTTTGCATTTATGATTGAATTTAGTAAAACATCCAGTCCCTTGACTTTAGTCGTGTCTCATGCTGGCTCTGTTCTGTCTTTGCTTTCTCTGCCATCTATAGGAAGCAATACTGTCATTGAAATGATATGAAAATTTTCATATTCCTTTAATAGGATTTCTTTAGGAGAATTGGTTGTTCTTCATTTATAGGAATGATATCTGTGGGGTAAGAAGACTGGTACTAATCTTAAAACTTGGTTGTTGTATCCCTGTGCACGAACACTGCCGTAGGTTACAGTTGTGACCTCCAGTGATCTCAAGGAGAAATAAAAAGGAGGAACCAGAAAACCAGTTCAACTGAGACATGCAAGCAGTATTTTTAAACAATCAGATATATAGAAACATCATGTGTTAAGATGACCCCAGGGTCTTTCTCATGTCTGTGTGGAAATCAGAAAACCTTAATTTTTACATTCTTAACAAATTATACCTTATGACATGCAAGTATTTGGAGAAATGCTTGCAAGCACATGTTCCCCTTTTCCCTTTTGTATATATAATCTCCTGTAGCTAACAAGCTTCAGGACAGTTCTTTTTTTTTTTTTTAATTGACTTTTTATTGTTATGTTAATCGCCATACATTACATCATTAGTTTTTGATGTAGTGTTCCATGATTCATTGTTTGTGCATAACACCCAGTGCTCCATGCAGAACGTGCCCTCCTTAATACCCATCACCAGGCTAACCCATCCTCCCACCTCCCTCCCCTCTAGAACCCTCAGTTTGTTTCTCAGAGTCCATCGTCTCTCATGGTTCGTCTCCCCCTCCGATTTCCCCCCCTTCATTCTTCCCTTCCTACTATCTTCTTTTTTTTTTCTTAACATATACTGCATTATTTGTTTCAGAGGTACAGATCTGTGATTCAACAGTCTTCCACAATTCACAGCACTCACCATAGCACATACCCTCCCCAATGTCTATCACCCAGCCACCCCATCCCTCCCACCCCACCCCCCACTCCAGCAGCCCTCAGTTTGTTTCCTGAGATTAAGAATTCCTCTATCAGTGAGGTCCTATGATACATGTCTTTCTCTGATTGACTTATTTCGTTCAGCATAACACCCTCCAGTTCCATCCACGTCGTTGCAAATGGCAAGATCACATTCCTTTTGAGGGCTGCATAATATTCCATTGTATATATACACCACATCTTCTTTATCCATTCATCTGTTGATGGACATCTTGGCTCTTTCCACAGTTTGGCTATTGTGGACATTGCTGCTGTAAACATCGGGTGCACGTACCCCTTCGGATCCCTACATTTGTATCTTTGGGGTAAATACCCAGTAGTGCAATTGCTAGATCGTATGGTAGCTCTATTTTCAACTTTTTGAGGAAGCTCCATACTGTTTTCCAGAATGGCTGCACCAGCTTGCATTCCCACCAACAGTGTAGTAGGGTTCCCCTTTCTCCGCATCCCTGCCAACATCTGTTGTTTCCTGATTTGTTAATTTTAGCCATTCTGACTGGTGTGAGGTGGTATCTCATTGAGGTTTTGCTTTGGATTTCCCTGATGCCGAGCGATGTTGAGCACTTTTTCATGTGTGTTGGCCATTTGGATGTCTTCTTTGGAAAAATGTCTGTTCATGTCTTCTGCCCATTTCTTGATTGGATTCTTTGTTCTTTGGGTGTTGAGTTTGATAAGTTCTTTATAGATTTTGGATACTAGCCCTTTATCTGATATGTCATTTGCAAATATCTTCTCCCATTCTGTCGGTTGTCTTTTGGTTTTGTTGACTGCTTCTTTTGCTTTGCAAAAGCTTTTTATCTTCATGAAGTCCCAATAGTTCATTTTTGCCCTTGCTTCCCTTGCCTTTGGCGATGTTTCTAGGAAGAAGTTGCTGCGGCTGAGGTTGGAGAAATTGCTGCCTGTGTTTCCCAGCACCATTTGTTGAAGAGACTGTCTTTTTTCCATTGGACATTCTTTCCTGCTTTGTCAAAGATGAGTTGACCATAGAGTTGAGAGTCCATTTCTGGGCTCTCTATTCTGTTCCATTGATCTATGTATCTGTTTTGTGCCAGTACCATACTGTCTTGATGATGACAGCTTTGTAATAGAGCTGGAAGTCGGAATTGTGATGCTGCCAGCTTTGCTTTTCTTTTTCAACATTCCTCTGGCTATTTGGGGTCTTTTCTGGTTCCATACAAATTTTAGGATTATTTGTACCATTGCTTTGAAAAAAGTTGATGGTATTTTGATAGGGATTGCATTGAATGTGTAGATTGCTCTAGGTAGCATTGACATCTTCACAATATTTGTTCTTCCAATCCATGAGCTTGGAACATTTTTCCATTTCTTTGTGTCTTTCTCAATTTGTTTCATGAGTATTTTATAGTTTTCTGAGTACAGATCCTTTGCCTCTTTGGTTAGATTTATTCCTAGGTATCTTATGGTTTTGGGTGCAATTGTAAATGCGATCGACACCTTAATTTCTCTTTCTTCTGTCTTGTTGTTGGCGTATAGGAATGCCAGTGATTTCTGTGCATTGATTTTATATCCTGCCACTTGACTGAATTCCTGTATGAGTTCTAGCAGTTTTGGGGTGGAGTCTTTTGGGTTTTCCACATAAAGTATCATATCATCTGCAAAGAGTGAGAGTTTGACTTCTTCTTTGCCGATTTGGATGCCTTTGATTTCTTTTTGTTGTCTGATTGCTGTGGCTAGGACTTCTAATACTATGTTGAATAGCAGTGGTGATAGTGGACCTCCCTTCCACGTTCCTGACCTTAGGGGGAAAGCTCTCAGTTTTTCCCCATTGAGAATGATATTCGCTGTAGGTTTTTCATAGATGGCTTTTATGATATTGAGGTATGTACCCTCTGTCCCCATACTCTGAAGAGTTTTGATCAAGAAAGGATGCTGTACTTTGTCAAATGCTTTTTCTGCATCTATAGAGAGGATCATACGATTCTTGTTCTTTCTTTTGTTAATGTATTGTATCACGTTGATTGATTTGTTCAGGACAGTTCTTCAGAGCAATCTGAAAGACTGTTTCCCAGGCTAGAGTCCTCAGTAAGACAACAAATAAAGCATTTACTCACCTACTTTGACCCTGGCTTTCTTTCAGCCTGCATACTGTTGCTAATACCTTTTAAGATAATAATAAGAGCTCACATTTATTGAGGTATAAATATTTATCAAGGATAGTGCTTTGTAAGAGGTGTATTACCTCTCAGTTTTTTAAATGAGGAAATTGAGGCTCAGGGTGATAAGGAAACTTGCCCATTAATGGCAGAGCTGGATCTGAACCCAGGTCTGTCTGGCGTCAAAGCCCATGATCCATCATGTTTGACAACTTGCCCTTCAGGCTCTGAAATGTATCTTTGTTTTCATTTGTATGCAACACAGCCCTGTATATTTGCCTAGTATTTTATTGTTTGCAAAGTGCTTTTTAAAAATGATCACTTAATCTTCTAACATATGACACAGAATCTTGCCAGTCACCACTATACAATAATTGTTGATTTGTATTTAATTATTTTTAGAAAGCCATATAAAGGGAACAATGTTGAGTAATTGAGAAAATGAATCATTTATAGAACTATTACATGGAAGGATGGAGAAGAGAAAGAGCTTATTAAAATTGTACAAAGTGTATTTAAAAAGGAATGGCATTTTCCTATGCATTATGGAAAATGTTTTCTAGAAATAAAATGTATTAAAAAAGAATAATCAGTAATTAAAAATAATAAGAATCCGGTAATTAAGAAAGTCAGATATGCTGACACGATGAATCTTTACGCAGCATATCAGTAGTCTTGGAAAGCCTGATGTAGCAACTGATGAGAAAGGGCAAAAGTACTGAGGCAGATCCCAAGGGGAGAGTTAAATAAAGATACACAGAATACTAACTGTTGGCTGTTTGGTGAGTCTCTCCCCGTCAGTACTGAAAAGTTTGAACGCTAAACAAGTTAAATGCTGGGAGCTATGGCAACTTTTTCCCTATTGTTTTCTGTATCGTTCTGCTCATCCTGCCTCATCGAAGTAAAGAAGTGACAGGAAAATCTGGCCTAAGTAGAAATTTCATCTCCCCGGCAACCTGTCAGTCTGTTTTCTTGCAGGATGAGCTCATGCTCAGGATTTAGGGTACCAAGACAGTGAGAGTCGGCGTTCGTCTTTGATGTTTATGTGTCTAGTATTGGCTTACAGGCTTCAGTTCAAATTACCCCGTTAAGAAAGTTGGCCTAAATTTTGCTTGGTTAGAAGAGGCTGTAAATATCTACCTTATCTTCATCGTGTTTTAATGAGTAGATTGATGGATTCATTTCTGTGACTTGCTCCTTACCCAGGTGTAGTTCGTGGCTCCCCTTGCCATTATCTGATGGGTCCCCTCCTCCCCAACTGGGTTCAGTGGCAGGTGTTGCAAAACGCATTTGATTTACAGTTCATCTTTCTGTGTTAGAAATAGTTATTTTTTAAATCAGAGCGTCACTTAGAATATGTTTCTTATTTAATAACCAGCCATATATCCTGTTTTTCTTTTAATGTGTTCTCAGAAACTAGTTACTGAGAATAGCTCATTACTTTTATAATTCTTTCTCCGCAGGCTGCTTTGTACCGCCTCAGTGGCGACTGGAATCCCTTACACATTGATCCTAACTTTGCTGGTTTCGCAGGTGAGTTGCTCATGATATGTACCGATGAAAACGACTAGCTTTGGTCATCTAAGTAACACTTAGAGACATTGCTACTTAGGAGAGCTAGTTTGAGTAATATTTTAAAAATAACCCTCTCCTAACACATTGATGCTAAGGATGGGGAAAGGCGGGATACAGGGTTCAGAGGATGGTGTGCTTGGAGTTCATAATTCAGATTGTGGAGGACGGAAGCTAGTGCAGAGTTTCGATCGGATCACATGGGCGGGTGTCTGAGTTCTCCTGACAGGCAAGGGCGTTGGAGGTTAGAGCAAGGGACTGAGAGGTGACAGAAGGATCATCTGATACTGAAATCAATATGGATGATTTCATGGTTACAGCCCCAGCTAAACAGAACAATTCTTTGTGTTCCCACATCTCTAACATGCATTCCTTTCTTGTTTCTTCTCTGTTTGTTTATTTCATAGTTTTCCCCCCGGAGGTATTTTTTACAACTCTTTTCCACGTTTCTTAAAATAGATGGTATAATTCATCTGAGTGCCGTTTGAAATCCTGAATTAATTATCCTTGGCTTTTAAACAGGATATGTGCTTATGTCTGACCAAATTCTCTTTCTTTTTTTTTAGGTTTCGACAAGCCCATATTACATGGATTATGTACATTTGGATTTTCTGCCAGGCATGTTTTACAGCAGTATGCAGACAATGATGTGTCGAGATTCAAGGCAATTAAGGTATGTGTGTATTATTGTGTAATTTGAACATTAGTTCCTTTTTTATTTTTGGAGAAGGAAAGGAGTTTTAGTGACTTCTTTTAATATAGGTACTGTACTGAAACAATACACATTTCTGTTATTTCACTGACTTGGCAATCAGCATGTGTTCGTATTGTAGCTATAAATACCTCTCACACTTGCACCATGAGGATATCGTATGCAATTATAATTTCAACAGATTAATTGGATTGCTTCATAAATTAATCGGGAGCATACACATGTCAGCCTATAGGCATTAACAGAAACTTGAGATTTACTTTTTTTCCCACTCTTTTGTAATTTGCCCTAACTTAATTAAAAATGTTAAGTGGCTGCATTTGAACTCTCAGAAACATACACCAGTGTCAGCATGATGGCTGCTTACTGATTTTCACATTTTCATCCCTTATAAATTACAAAAAACCCCTATCTCTGCACACAGTACCTTTGCGGAGGTGTACGTCAAAAGGCAGACGCTGAAAAACAACGTTTAAGACGGTGTCAAATAGCTCCAGAAGCTTTTATCGATTTGTGCTCTATGAGGCAGTGAAAATGCATTTTCTGATGTGTTGCCTGTAATAACACTGATTATTTTCATGGTTTTCACTTTATTATAACTACTTGTATTATTACGTAATCCTCTGTACAGAGCAAATACAGTGGTAGAGAAGATGATGAAATAAGAAGTGGCATTATTTTGTCCTGCGCGCCATCCCAGACCTTATTCCCCAGATGTACTTGGTACCACTTTCAGCTGCATCCTTTACGTTGTCCTGGGGATACCTGTATTATTCTCCTTAGCACGATGGTGCTTCTGTTTCTTGCTTTGTCAAGATTAAAGACTAGTTATGGACTCTTTATTTTGAAAGATAAACTAGCTTATACAAACTATATCCATTGTCTAATTTTATCATACTACTATTTGTGTTCCTTTATGAGTTTAAATGTATTTAAACCTCTGTTTTCTTCCTTTTATGTTCTCTAACATCCGTCTGAATTTCTGTCCCCACAAGTAGGAAGGTTTCATTTTAAAACATGTGTCACCCTCAAACTCATTTCTTTTAAAGGTTCGTTTCGCAAAACCAGTGTATCCAGGACAGACTCTACAAACTGAGATGTGGAAGGAAGGAAATAGAATCCATTTCCAAACCAAGGTATGAGTCATGTAGTTAGAGGTTCCTTGTTTTGTTACCTGCATCACCACACCCTGTAACCCTGGTCCATCCTACAGCGTTCTTTCAGTGAATACTGGGGGTATGACAGAAAACCTAGAAGGTTTTTTTTTAATCAGTGGTACCTTTTAATTGAAAATAAGATGGCTTTGTACCTTTTTTTTTAATTCTGTTTTACTTTTTACTAAATTGGTGCCTGTATGTAGGAATGGCACAGCTGTTCGGAAAACCCAACCAACCCTATCTTTTTGGCTCAACCAGTCAACCAAGTCATTGTCAAAATATAATATTCAGAATATTAAAGGCATGACTCTCACCCAGATACAAAATGAAAATACGACGGGACGCTGTTTAATTGCTTAATGAGGGAGCTGGCTAGATGATAAAACTGGTTCGGAAGAGAATTAGAGCAACAGTGTCTGGCCCACCAGGACCCCACTGCCAAATAACCTTGCTGGATTAGACGCAAAGCTAATTAATGTTCTACAGAACACTAAAACTATACCCTTTATGGTTATGTTTTCTACTGCACAGGAATCATGTGCATCTTGATCACACCAGAATCCAGAAAGTAACACCGTATGTCACAGAGGTTGGGCCTAATTAAGAGTAGGTGACAAGACAAAAAATAACTATGTCTCCCTAAAGAGCTAAGTAATGTTTGGGTGAGGCTGTTAGCAGTGTTCCAGTAAAATACTAAAAGGCCATGCAATCATCCCTTTATTTGTACGATTTTTAAAGATAATTTTTATCAACATGGTTGACCACGCTAGTTTTTTTGGCCGATCATTTTGTACTTGTTAAAAATCAGATGGTGTGTGTTGAGCCATGTAGACACCACCATGAATAATAATAGTAGCTATTAAATACCTCTGAGCAGGCTGTACTATTGTCTCTAATATGCCCAAGAACTCTCCATTCGCTGGAAGAAAATCTAGGTTCAGGGCTCTTAAATACTTGCTCACGGTCACACAGAAAGTGGTCCAGCTGGGGGACACACCCAGGTCTTCCTGGCTCAAAGCCCCAATCCCAGAGCCCTCGCTCTTCTTACTGTATCACAGTTTCTTTCGTCAAGAAATAACTGTAGGGGCACCTGGGTGGCTCAGTTGGTTAAGCGACTGCCTTCGGCTCAGGTCATGATCCTGGAGTCCCTGGATCGAGTCCCGCATCGGGCTCCCTGCTCGGCGGGGAGTCTGCTTCTCCCTCTGACCCTCCCCCTCTCATGCTCTCTCTCTCTCTCTCTCTCTCTCATTCTCTCTCTCAAATAAATAAATAAAAATCTTTAAAAAAAAAAAAAAGAAAGAAATAACTGTAGACCTCAGCTTTATGTGGCTGCCTTACTCCCCATTAATTCCTGCGGCTTGCAGTGTCACTTTCCTGCTTAATTTGTGTATATCCTTCATTTCCCGTGGCCTCCTGTCCTCTCCTCTCGGCTTCCTTTCAAGCTCTCCCTTGCCCTGAGAGGCGGCCCCTTACCACTCACTCCGTTTCCTGCCCCCACAGACTCACATATGGCCTTTCTCTGAAATCCTCTTGCAGTTAATATTTGTGCCACCTCTTCTGGAGCCTTCCTATTTTCTAATTATTTTGAGTAAGTTTTATTTTTTGACTAAGATGATGAAATCTACAAGGGGTCAGGTCTATGACCACTTTACGGGTTTGTTGTTTTTTTTTAAAGATTTTATTTATTTATTTGAGACAGAGAGAATGAGAGACAGAGAGCACGAGAGGGAGGAGGGTCAGAGGGAGAAGCAGACTCCCTGCCGAGCAGGGAGCCCGATGCGGGACTTGATCCCGGGACTCCAGGATCATGACCTGAGCCGAAGGCAGTCGCTTAACCAACTGAGCCACCCAGGTGCCCCGGGTTTTTATTTTCCTCAGTTGCAGTAATGAACAGCATAGAAATCAACTCCATGGATACAGACTTAAAGGGCTGAGAAATAATTTAATCGCTAAATAGAATACCTTCTTGCCATTTTGATAAATTCTAAGCATATCTTCCTCTCTTTTCACTGTATTTGCCTCCCCCCCCACCCGCCCAGTGATTAGAGGTACTCTTTGCTATTAGTTATAGATAGGAATCCTTCTTTCCTTCCTTCCCTCCTTCCTTCATGTTGTATTTTAAGAAATATTTTATTTATTTATTTATTTTTTTTTTTAAAGATTTTATTTATTTATTTGAGAGAGAGAGAATGAGAGAGAGCACATGAGAGGGAGGAGGATCAGAGGGAGAAGCAGACTCCCCGCCGAGCAGGGAGCCCGATGCGGGACTCGATCCAGGGACTCCAGGATCATGACCTGAGCTGAAGGCAGTCGCTTAACCAACTGAGCCACCCAGGCGCCCTTTTAAGAAATATTTTAAATGAATGTTCCAAAGTGACATGCTTGGCTTGGTTGCAAGAAAGTAATTTACTAAAGTGTATTTTGTTCATAAATTGTCTCTTTCCATGCTTTGCACTGGAATATAATTAGAAATAAATAATTAGAAATAAATTATAATAATTAGAATTATTTATAATATATAATTAGAAATAAAATGAACAAATTGAAAGATCTTTTTTCTGAAGTACAATGGCTAGTGGTCAAGGGAGAATGATCTCAATTGTTAAAAATCAGTTTTAATAAATGCTGCCTTCATTTTTAGACCTGGTCCTCCCCATTTGTAGCAATACCATAATTTTATGAAAGAGTAGCCATTAGAATAATTTTAGATGAAGGATTAGGGATTCGAATTAGAGTTCCTTTCATGAGTATTTTGATGAAAGTCTAAGCATTTAGTTTATGCTATGTACCCTTCCTATTTGAAATAAATTAGAATTGTTACTTAAAAAGGATCACTGTGGTCTGTTCCAGAGGATTTTATTCTCTCTGAATAGAACAAATGCACTTTGAGCATCACTACTTCATGTGGATACTCACCATGCCTTGTACTATTTATAAGAATTCAGCAGTTCTCACCGTGGCTCCCCATGAGACACACTTATGTTTAAAAAACAATTTCCCCAAATACCAATGCCAAGGGTCAACCCCAGGGCATTTAAATTAGAATTTTTGGAGATGGGACCTCATCATATGTATATTTTAAAAGGGCACCAGTTGATTCTACAGTTAGGGTTAATAACAGTTGTATTAAAACAGCAAGCCTTAGTGTTTATTCATCTTGACATTTAATTTATAAACTTGATTTAATTTGGATTCTTATTTTCTTTTTCTTATGAGGAAAAATTGTTGTTTTCTTTTAAATGACTGTGTACTATTTCACAACGATACTGTGTTTTCATTGGAATCATCAGAGTGAACTGGTTTTTTTCCCTCTTAAATCTTAAGATCGAAGAAACCGGAGACGTTGTCATTTCAAATGCATATGTGGATCTCATACCAACATCTGATACTTCAGCGAAGACACCCTCTGAGGTGGGTTATCGAAACTGGTAGCCAAGTCATTTTCTGATTGATGATTTTCAGTTAAGATTACTTTTAGAATGTTCAGGCTGCTTTAGAAAATTAAGAGCTGTGAAAGATTGTTAATTCTTGAAGGACATTAATCCAAAACTGCTTCAGGTAAAAGGAATATTTTGACAACTTAGGAATTTCTTAAACATTTTTTAAGGGGGATACTGGGGTGCCTTTCAAGAGAAAATAATTAATTTTCTAGTTTTACAATAAGTGAATCAGTCATTTAATGAGAAATCTTTTTTTTTTTTTTAAAGATTTTATTTATTTGTCAGAGAGAGAGAGAAAGCAAGAGCACAAGCAGGGGGAGCGGCAAGCAGAGGGAGAAGCAGGCTCCCTGTTGAGCGAGAAGCCCAGAGTGGGACTCGATCCCGGGACCCCGGGATCATAATCTGAGCTGAAGGCAGATGCTTAACCAACTGAGCCACCCAGGCGTCCCAGTTGTTTAATGAGAAATCTTAAGCTAACAATATTTTGGAGAAAAATAGAGGAAAAAGTTAACTATCCTGTACCTTTGCTTGATTTAAAGATTTGTGTAAAGCTATGTATGCAAATATAAAAACAATAGCATGGGGCGCCTGGGTGGCTCAGTTGGTTAAGCGATGCCTTCACCTCGGGTCATGATCCCGGAGTCCCGGGATCTAGTCCCGCATCGGGCTCCCTCCTGAGCAGGGAGTCTTCTCCTCCCTCCGACCCTACCCCCTCTTGTGCTCTCTCTCTCAAATAAATAAAAAAATAAAAACAATAGTATGTATCATTTATTAAAACATTTCTGTTATTCTCTGTTAACATGAGGCTTTTAATATAAATGTTTAGCCTCAGGCTTCAGAAGAGTAACTTTGTAGTATTGAGGTGCTCAGACCCATGATCTTTAATTGTCTGTCGTAAACTACATCATCACATAAAGGCCTGGAGATTAAGATCCCTTAAGAAGAATCTAAGATCAAAAACTTGAGAAGTGTTAGAGCTACAAGGAGATGCGGGCTTCACATAACTTAATCCCATTTTACAAAGAAAGAAACGAGACCACAGAGGCTAATTGATTTGTCCAGTATCTTCCTGCTCTCGTTAGTTAGGACGTAGGTTGTATAGCTCCTAGGGTTCTCTTAAAATATTATTTCTGAATGCTGATAAAAGTAAAATCCTCTTACTAAGACTGAGTTCGTGGATGACATGAATAAACAGAAGAGTGGGAAAGGAGCCTGGTGTGAAAAAAATGAGTTTGCCTTATTTTTACGCAGATTTTTTTAAAAAATCACTTTATTGCACATACATTTTATAATCATTTTCCCCCTTGAGTCATTCTTATAAAACTTTTCAAGTTACATTTTTTCTTCTTGCTAGGGTGGGAAGCTCCAGAGTACCCTGGTATTTGAGGAGATAGGTCGCCGCCTGAAGGATATCGGGCATGAGGTGGCGGAGAAAGTAAATGCCGTATTTGAGTGGCATATCACTAAAGGTGGACGCACTGCAGCCAAGTGGAGTAAGTCCTGTCCCTGACTTTATACTGTTCTGAGGTAACTCTTAGTAAGTAGAGATAAAGTATCCTTCTTAACATTAAAGCCTGTCTCTTTGAAGGTGGCTCAACCCCACCTACCTGCGTACCTTCTCATGGGAAATACCAGGTTTCAGGGCACTCGAAGATGTGTGTTTTTCTGAGATGTAAAAGAATCCATTAAAATGAAAATACCTATTTTAAAGATTACATTGTAATACCTGAAATGAGTACTTTGAAACAGTCATGTTAGCTATATGCTTTTTTTTGGGGGGGGGGGTTCCTTTTTTCAAATTCTAAGTTCAATTAATTAACAATATAGTGTATTATTAGTTTTAGAGGTAGAGTTCAGTGATTCATCAGTTGCGTACAACACCCAGTGCTCATTCCATCACGTGCCCTCCTTCATGCCCAGCACCCAGTCACGGCCCTGCCCCTGCCCCCTCCCCTCCAGCAAGCCTCAGTTTCTTTCCTATGCTTAAGAAGTCTCTTACGGTTTGTCTCCCTCTCTGGTTTCATCTGGTTTTATTCTTCCCAGGTTTTTTTTTTTTTTTTTTTACTAACCAGAATCATGCTGCATGTGTGCTCTTTTAATCTTTAAATGCCCCTTACACAGAAAGCCAATTCATCAGGTCAAATGAAATATTTTTAGGTCATTGTATTTTGAGACTTTCAAAATTGCTTTCTTCATCTCACAACATTAATAATTTGAATTATCACCTTAATTATCAGAATGCTATTTAGAGGGTGCCTGGGTGGCTCAGTTGGTTAAGCGACTGCCTTCGGCTCAGGTCATGATCCTGGAGTCCCAGGATCGAGTCCCGCATCGGGCTCCCTGCTCAGTGGGAAGCCTGCTTCTCCCTCTGACCCTCCCCCCTCTCATGTGCTCTCTCTCTCTCTCTCATTCTGTCTCAAGTAAATAAATAAAATCTTTAAAAAAAAAAAAAGAATGCTATTTAGACTGCCTATTTGAGTGCCTTGGAAATCCATGTGTTTTATTCCTCACTACAATTAAAGATCGCTATAAATGCTCACTTAGAGCAAAAAATTAAAATACATCTCTGAGTCAACGGAAACTTTGAAATAGTCTTCTGTTTGTTATGTATTCCTAGAAAAACATTTTTGAAGTTTTGTTAAACCAATTTTGGATCAGTATTAACAACCTTCTTTTTAATATGACAATTGTGGTTTCTGTTAAGCAGTGTATGTTGATGGCCTAAAATTGGATAAAGGTATAAAGAAGAAAATAATGATCTATCTAATTCCACTACCCACAGTTCACATTTTGAGGTTTGTTCTTCTGGAGACCCTGTGCTTCTAGGAAGTTAGCTCAAAAGGAGCGGGGGATAAGGCAGAAATGTTAATAGGAATTTAATCCTCCAAATTTCAAAGCGTCTAATTTTTTTCTCAGGAATTTCATAGATTAACACTGTGTGTGCAGGTTTTATCACGTGCCTTTCTTTGTTCTTTCTGTCCTTCCTTTTTTCTATCTTTCCTTGATGGAATTCAGCTTCTTCCCTAGGGATGAACATATATTGGAAGTTGAGTGACAGATATAAAGCACGGGATTTTTGAAGATACTGGTAGAGGAGAGGAGTGAGGTCTGATCTGTACGAGTGAGAGAAGGTGCTAGAACCATGTGTCTCATGGGTGGCAGACCAGAAGCCTGTAGGGACTGGCACAGGGTACATGTGGTGCCTTTGTGGCAAACAGGGTAATTTCCTTCAGCTTAGTGGCTAACTCAGATTTCCCCCCTTGTCTTGGTGACACTTGCCTTGTAGGCAGTATTAGAAAATGTGCTTTTACAAGTGACCTTTAATTAACTTTAGGAGAAGGGTTTTTCCTGACACTTCCACTGGACAGATGGGAATATCGATATCCTGTTAATAACTACTTATTACTGATATGCCTGGTGGCTTTTGCTTGTCTTAGCATCTCTTCTCTGCAGCCTTGGTTATTGAAGCTCATTGTCATGTGGGGTCTGAAAGCTTTCTCTGAAAGGGTTCACCATTTCCTTTGGTCGTCGGCCTGCCTGTTGTTTGATTCTCAGCCGTGTTGTAACTGTCTTCGCTTGGGGCTGTTGTTTTCTCCCGGGCTTTGTGTCGGACACCGTGGCTGGCAGAAGTAGAAGTGTCCAGGCCGCCAGGCTTGCGGTATCTTGGAGAACGATTCCACGTTGGCATCTCTCTCTTCTTCGTCTTGGCGCTTATTGACATGAAATTGAGGATTGAATGCTTTGATTTAGGGAATAGATAGCATTTCTTTTTCACGATCAGTTTTAAAAATCACTTTAATATCAAATATTTTGTGTTTTATGGATTTATTTATTTGAGAGAGAGAGAGCGCGTGAGCGCACACACAAGCCGGGGGAGGGGCAGAGGAAGAGAGAGAAATCCTCAAGCAGACTTCTGGCCGAGTGTGGAGCCAGAACCGGGGCTGGATCCCAGGACCCTTGGGTCACGCCCTGAGCCGAAATCAAGAGTCGGGCGTTCAACCGACTGAGCCACCCAGGAGCCCCCAAATATTTTGTATTTTCAGTTGCTCTTAGTTATCTCAGTCTGGCTCACTTCTTGGCAGGCCGGAACTGGTTACAGAGACTAGGGTGAAGCTCCTCAGTTCACCTTGGCTGGGCTGAGGTGTCCCTGGAGTTGCACAAGTCTCGGAACCAAGGGGTTTGGGCTTAGTGGCCTAGGAGATGCATTCTAGCCCACAGATCTTCCCCTCTGTCCCCCACCATGCTATCCAGACACCACTACCGCCCCCAAATCTCTGGGGCAGCATATGTGTTTGGGGGCGGGGAGAGTACAGAGTCTTTTTTTTTTTTTTTCAAGATTTATTTATTAATTTTAGAAAGGACAGGGGAGGGGCAGAGGGAGACCCAGAGTCCCAAGCAGACTCCCCGCTGAGCACGGAGCCCCACATGGGGCTCAATCTCACGACCCTGAGATCATGACCTGAGCTGAAACCAAGAGTCCCACACTTAACTGACTGCACCATGCAGGTGCCCCAAGGAGTGTCTTTTAAAACCAGATTAGTGTCAATCTAGGGAGAGTTAGGTGAGTTCTGGTGTCAGTGCTGGGTCAGGGTCGGTTTGGGCTGTGGAGGAGGAGTCGTAGCTGTACCTTTGAGATTAGGCCCCTCCCAGGCCTGTTCTGCACGGTCATCCAGGTGCAGGAGGGCGAAGGCCAGTGTGTTCTCGTCCTCGCCAGGCTGAGATTACCGGAGAGAGGCTGGACAGCCTGTCCTTTCCTTTCTTGTGGGCTGAGAGCACAGAACAGAGCGATGCAGGCTCTGGATCTGCCTAAGAAGCCAGAAGCAGGGTCTTCGTGAGAAACTTAGGGGAAGGAAGCCATATCTTGGAATGCTCACTGCACCTTCCTATTCTACCTCTGGAGACAATGTTTTGTTTACAAAGTATTGTTTTAGAGTTATTAAAAATGTTCTGATCCACACATAGTGCTTCTTTACATAGAAATCAAGGTAGAAGCCTATTTTCCTCATTTCACCGTTACTATTATATTACTATATAATATATAATATATAATTACTATATAATGTGTAAAGTAGTATTGTATAACATGTAACAATATAATATCAAGGACATATGATCTTGTTATCTCTGTCTTTTTATTACTCTAAAAGGTAATTGAAAGCCTTGCCATGTTGGAACACCTTTTTCAAAGATGCTATGGCTTCAGGTATTTTACCCTTTTGAATAAAGGTTATCCTTTGGCTTTTTACTTTCCTAGGGATTCTTTGATTAGGTTGCAAAGGTGCAGATGGACCATCAGCTGGAGAAATAAATCTCTGAATTTCCTTTGAACAGTCTGTTGCTTGTCACGGTTCTCTTACTGTGTTACGATCATTTATAATTATATGTCTCCTCCCATTTGACCTTGGGTTTCAGCCTGAGAAAGAGCTGCAGATTAGTTTTTTATTGCTAGCTTCTGGTACAGCCTGCAACACAGTAGCCTCTTTCCGTGTATGCTGAATAAGTGCTAAAAGCCAGGTAGAATGTGTCATCTTAGATGGAATCATATGTCAGCTTAAAAAAAAAAAAAGGGTTGAAATTAGTGCCTTTCCCTATCTTAAAACAATAATGTGTTGTGTGGATATTTTCTATTTAATATGAGTGAAACCTTTTATAAGTATGCAGTGTAGCTTACAGTATTTATTACTGTTAATTTCTAAAGCCAGCCAAAAGTTTTGTTCTGGTAAACCCTTTGGATCTCATTCTGTTGTTCTGAGCAGCAGGTACAATTCAGAGGACAGGAAGGCAGAAAGAAGGTAAAGAATCAGAGGCTGCATGTGGCCCAAAGAACGGCCTGCTCCTGAAAATGAAAACACAGCTGCCGCTTTCAGCAACTCCAGAAACCAAAAAGTCTAAACATGGAATGGTTTTTGGTTTTTGGTTTTTGGTTTTTTCCTTCTAACTCACTGATGGCAAAGCCTGGCTGGAACTTAAATGATGCAAATGACTGTCCTTATCTCTCACCCTGCGAAAGAGTTGAGTACAGAAATCCTGTGTTTGTTTATAGAGTGTGGCATCATTGGAACTCTTCCGTACTCTGGGATACATGTCTTATGCACCGTCTTTCCTTCCTAAAATCTGAAAAATTCTGATTTCTAGAACACATCTGGCCCGAAGGAGTCCAAATAAGGAACCTCCTCACATCTATAAATAACCCTGAACAGGATTGATAAGAGACATGGAAAAGGTGCTGTCGGCTTTCACAGAATGGGAGGATTGGTTCATTCAAGTAATAATCGAGTGTTTACCATGTGCTAAGTTCTCTGCTAGGTTGCAGATTACAAATATGAAAAGATAGGCTTTTTTTTTTTTTTTGGTCAGCCTGAATAACTCTTAGAGGCAGTATGCAGGAAAGTGGGAATACAGAGGTTGAAGAAACAAGGTTTGTTGCATTTCAGATGAAAGGGAAGGAAGACCTAAATTGAGGTCATGGCAAGAATGGAGAGAGGAGGGCCTCTGTGGATAATGGTTAAGAAGAAATGACCACCTTGGCTACTGATGATGTCTGAAAAACAAGAGGCATGAGACAGGGTCAAAACTAATGCCCAAGTTTGGAGCCCTTGGGGTGGGAATGTTGACTCCATTGCTAGATTTGTGAAACGTGGGCTAGGAGACGAGTTCAGGGAGCAGGTGATAAGCCAGGTGTGTTTGTGCTTACCTGTAGCAGATTGAGATCTGGACTAGGGGCTGGGAACGGTGGGCTTGGAACGTGGGATAGACTCTCGGCCGGGACAGATACTTGGAAACCATGCTTGTGGAAATGGTAGTTGGAACTCAGAGCATTAGCTTTGCTGTTGGGCGTCATGGCCGGCAGGAAGAAAATGGAGGGCAGTTCCTGTTGATCCTACGAGAGTATCTGCTCCCAGCTCATGGCTCCAGCGTTCCCATTTGTCTCTAAATAAAGTGATCATCTTAGAATGTGGCCCACGAATCTTAAATATGCAATTTATTGTAACTTTAGGCATGAATATTACCCCATCTCCAAGTAGGAATCTTTTTGTTGTTTTGATTGTATCCAGTGGCTATAAAATAGCCCTACAACTGAAACTTTTGATGAAAACAGCTTTATTTTCGTGTAGTAATGATACAGTGCTGCTGTGTAAAAATATGTTCCATTTTCCTTCGGATGATAGGTTTAAGCTGGTTGGCATTGAACGATTTGGTTGTTTTTTTCCCCTCACGGAAATTGAGTTTCTTTTCATGTATTTGTAGTCTTTTCCATTGTAGGAACATAATTGGAATTGGCATTTATATAGCAAGGTTATAGACATACTATGCAGTATTGCTTGACTGTTCCTAGTTAAGTAATGAGGTTATTTGGGTCTAAAAAAAAATGCATCCTGAAATTAATTATGTAGAGCCAAGTCTACATACTTGGACCAGACCCAGGCATCCGTTATGCATTATGTGACAATGACTGGACGAAGATGTTCTTTAAATGTTAGAGGTCATTTGTTTTGGATCTTGGAGATTGGCCAGAATGTGGAAAGATTTATTCAGATTTGGCAATGGGCGTTCTTTTAAGAGCAGAATACATTCACCCTGGAGGACACACCAGTTGGTCACTAGAACCTATTATTAGCTCCTGGGTCAGTGCTCATCTTCTAGCGGTCAAACCAGTTCGCCTTTTAGGGTTTCTCAGCTGTGCTAGAAACTAGATCTTAAGGAGGCTGGTTCCACATTTTGGATTGGGATCCAAAAGCGTCTCATGGGTTTACAGAATAGACTTGGAAGATGACCTTTGGAAAGAAATATGGTGTCCGGTCAGGGATGGGGACCTGTGTGTTGGAGTGGTATCTGCTTCAGCTCCATTCCCTTAGCGGTGGTGGCTTCTTCCCCCCCGTCACAGCATAGACCCTGACTGCGTGTCCGTGCGCATTCACACGCAGAATCGCTTAAAACTGGTAGGGCTTTCCATCTTGCCGTGGGTGTTATTCATCTTAATAACTTCTTTTTGTAGTTTTTTTATTTTGAAATGATTTCTGACTTACGGAAAAGTTGGAAGACTCGCACAGAGAACTTGTATCTGTCCTTCACCCAGGTTCTCCAAATTATGATTTTATTCCATATTCTTTACTATTTTCTTTTCATCATACATCTTAGGATCATTTTTCTGAAGCATTTGAGAGTTAACTTGCAGATACAGTGTCCCTTTATCTCCAGATACTCCAGTAGCTTCTCCTAAAAGCAAAGACTTTCTGTTATCTAGTCATAAAACCATTATCAATATCAGGAAAGTAACATTGATACAGTATTATTTAATCAACAGACCTTATTATTTCACCAGTTGTCCCACTAATGTCCTTTATAGTCAAAGAATACTAATTGTAATAATAATAACAATAATAATAGAAATGGAGAAAAAAAAAGGAAGAACTGCCTGGGGTCCAGTTTGGGATCAGGTAATACATTTCATCGTCGTTAGGTCTCTCGTTAGCCTGTTAATCTGGATGAGTTCCTCAGTCTGCCTTTGCTTTTTGGGGCCTTGACATTATTTGAAGAGTAGAGCCCAGATATTTTATAGAATGCTCCACAGTTTGTATTTATTTGCTATTTCCTCATGATTATTAGATTGAGTTTTTGGCAGGAATGGCACAAAAGTATTGTGTCCTTCATGGTGTGATTTAAAAGAAATATCTATTATTTGACTTAAGTTTTCCTTTTGTTGTTGTTACTGTTTTTTTTTTAAGAGAAGTGCTTCTTTGTGCTTTCCTAATCATCCATTAACAAATAGTTTCTAAGTACTTTCTATTCAAGGAGGTGTAGGGGATACAAACACAAAACATTCTTGTTTCAGCAAAGAATTTATCATCTTAAGGGAAGGAGTCATCAATGAAAGTAACTGCTTTCTTCTGTGGTATCCCTTTGTGATTTCTAAGGTACATATATCCCAAGAGTGTCGGAGATCTCTAAATTTCCAGATACCCTGTTCTCACCTGACACCTCTCCCCCATTAAATGCTGTAAAGTATGACTGAAATTATTTATGTATTTATTTATTTTTTAAAAAGATTTTATTTATTTGACAGAGAGAAACACAGCAAGAGAGGGAACACAAGCAGGGGGAGTGGGAGAGAGAGAAGCAGGCTTCCTGCTGAGCAGGGAGCCTGATGAGGGGCTTGATCCCAGGACCCTGGGATCATGACCTGAGCTGAAGGCAGACGCTTAACAAGTGAGTCACCCAGGCGCCCCCGACTGAAATTTTAACGGACTCTTTCAGAACCTCAATGATTATATAAATACAGAGCTAATGTCAGGCATAAAGCTTTTAAAATCATTTCTGCCAGTAGGAGAAAATACGTGCAATCTGTTTCTTCATTTCAGTAAGATTAGCCATGACCACACTGTTGTCTGTAAACTCAAGGTGATGGTGGTGGGTGATGAGGCTCCAGCAAGAGCCATGTTGTAGACCATGACCTGAGCTACCATGGGATTGGCATTACCACTCCTTTACCTCGACCTCCTGTGTGCTTGCTAAGAACCTTCCCTTTCCTCGCCCTCTTTTCTGTTACCAACCCTAGTTACTAGCTTTCCACAGAAGAGATTTACTGCTTTGCAAGAGTCAGGGCTGGGAAGCCACACGTAGAACCAGGGAGAGTGCGAGGGCAGGCGGACAGCGATGAACCCCCATCAACCAGAGACTCACTTGCACACGTGAGCATTAAGATGTGTGTGGTCCACCTTCATGCCTGAGCGGGTCTTGTGGACTTCAGACCTACTTGTGAAGAATTAAAATCATGAAGGTTGTCTGTTGAACACCAGAGGTTTGCTTTTTAGAGTTTAGAGGCTTTCCTTCCTTCCTCCCTTCCTTTCCTTCCCCAGCCTTCCTGACTCGCTCCCTCTCTTCTTCTCTCTTTTCTTTCTTTTCAACTATACAAGCATTACATGAAAACACATGTGTACTAGGGAAGTGCCAGTAAGAACAGAGCCTTTGCTCTGCACGCCTGACTTTGAGTACCTGGCATATTGTCTGACACCCATGGTGGAAACTCAGCAGTGAAGTGAGTGAACGAAGCATACAAAGCAAAAAGTTGCCTTTCTCCTTCCCAATGCAACCATGATCATCAGGTCACTACTGTTTTACCTTAGTTGGCAAAATTCTGTTCTCTCAAAGAGTTGGCGTGATTTAATTTTCTCTCTGGAGCAAGTCTCGGTTAAGCAGCATGTCACTGAACCCTGTGGGTTTTCCTCACGCGTGTGTAGCTTCTCCTCGGCTCTCAACTTGGAGTTCTGTACACAGTCTCAGGGCCAGCTCCTTCGCTGTAGCAAGAGAGAGTGCCTTCCAGAAGCTGACGCTGGAGGAGTGGATGACTGGTCTCGATTACATGTGAGACAGTTAAAACTTTCTGACACGTCGCTTGGGCATCCAGCTCTATAAATGATCTGGAGAGAGCCATGAAGGTGGTTTTTCATAGCTTTCCCAGTTACCCAGCCTGTTTCTGGGGCACTTGATACTTCTGTCAAAAGCAGTTAAGGGAAAAGAAGCTAATTTTAATGTTTATTTGCAATAATGAGGGCAATAAATATTTTATAAATCATAAGTGCAACAAACAACATTTTTATGAATCTGTTTCGACTGTCTTGCTATGCATGACGGAACGTTTGATGAAGGCAGGTATTTGAAAGGTGACTAGAGTGTGTGTTTCCTTCCCCAACCCAACCCAACCAACATGCACCTGTTTTAAAATTCAGCTTTCTGGGGTGCCTGGGTGGCTCCGCTCAGTCGGTTGAGCATCCAGCTCTTGATTTCAGCTAGGTCATGGTCTCAGGGTTGTGAGATTGAGCCCTGTGCTGGGCTCCATGCCTAGCATGCTTGAGATTCTCTGTCATCCTCACCCTCTGCTCCTTCACCCCCACCCCCTGCTCACATGCTGTCTCTCTCAAAATAAATAAATAACTAAAATAAAATAAAACAGAATTGAGCTTTCCTCCTTTGTTGACTAGAGTGTCTGTATTTGAACCTAAAGGCCTTAACCGTATAACCTCCAACAACTTAACTTCCTTATGTTATTCTACGTTAATTAATGTTTAAAATGTCTCTGTTCTATAAACTTCTTCACTGAGGTGAAACTATTGATCTATTTTTTTTTTAAGGATTTTATTTTTAAGTAATTTCTATACCCAACATGGGGCTTGAACTCACGACCCTGAGATCAAGAGTTGCACGCTGTATGGACTGAGCCAGCCAGACTCCCTTGATTTGACTATTTTGAACAACTTCTTTATAAAAAAGTCATCTTGAAAAATAAAGGATTTTCTAAATTTTTCTAAATGACAGATAATGTATAATGTAGAAAGCACCACATGAACTTGGAAACTAAAAATGTTCACATTTCAGTTGGTTTATTTTACTCTCCTATTGTGAAGAAAAAAAACAAACACATTGCTCTCTTCCTACTTTTGACAGCTGTTGACCTAAAAAGTGGTTCTGGAAAAGTGTATCAAGGTCCTGCAAAAGGCTCTGCTGACGCAACCTTCACACTTTCAGATGAAGATTTCATGGACGTGGTCCTGGGCAAGCTCGACCCTCAGAAGGTAATGTCCTGACATGCCCATTCATCATCATTGCTTCCTGTTTGACCAGGCAGTTGTTAGCTGGCTCCCAAATGTGACTTAGAAGACAAGTTCCTTACCACTGTGAAGGAGACTCGGGGGATCTCAGTATCTGGGTTGCAGATCATATATATTTTTAGTGGAGTTCCACACAACCCCCTTTAAAGTGGAATTTCTTCTTCAGCATAGAGTGAAACGGTATAAAACCCACACCTAGACCTTTACATACATTCTGTCATTAGTTCGAAAGTGAAAAACCATATACTAGTAGATACTTCCTAAAATTTGAAATTCATTCCTGGTGTACAAGATTAAGAACTTGTCTTAACAGTCATCATTGAAAACTGGAAATAGTAGAATAGGCCAATAAGAGCCGGTGTCTTACTTAAGGTGAGACCCTTAGAGGCTTTTCCGTGGAGAATACCAATGAGGACAAGAGTGCCCTCTCTGACCATTATTCGTGAATATCGTTCTGAAGCTTTTGGCCAATCCACAAACACACAAAATTAAAGAAACTGATGTAACAATTAGAATGGAAGAGACACCCTTGTTACTTTGAAACCCTGATTATGTAGCTAGAAATCCCAAGAGAATCAACTACTGATTCTTAAAATGAAGGACTTCGAGCCAGTGGTCGAATGCCCGATCATTATTAAAAAATCGCTTTCTCACAGTAGCAAACCCAACTAGAAGATAGCACTGGAAAAGAAGTTGTTTATAATCCCAACCCAAACTACAGAATATCGGTGACTTCCCTAAGAAGGAAAGCTTGTTGGAAGACAGTCATGCACGTTTACAGGGAGCAGAGCCGTTTCAGTACATGAGAAAGTGCAGTTTTCCCGGATTCTTAGAAGGACTAATTTAAAAAGAATTGTCAAGTAGTACAGTAGGATCTTTGACATCAGATAGATCCGAGTCTGACTCTAAGCTCTGCCACTTTCTCTCTCAGTCTCGATTTTCTCATTGGTAAAGTTACTACAATAATCGTCATAATCCCAAAGGCCTGTTATAATTCAGTCTCATAACATATACAGCGCTTGGCACCCCGTGACCTCAGTTGATTCCTTCGCAGAAACGCATTCAGCCCTCACTGATTCGGGGGCTTGGTGTGGCGGAACAAGACGGTGCCCTACCGTCTGAGCTTAGTTCTAGAGGGAGCGGGAAGGAAATCTGATTTCGGGTATGAAGAAGAATCCGGCAGAGCAATGGGTGAGAGCCGGGCTCGGCCCCCTTTTTCTGGAAAGGGTCGCCTCATGCACATTCTCGGCTGTGTGGCCCGATGATCTGCGGTGCACATGCACAGTCCAGCCACTGTGGAGGCAAAGCAGCTGCAGATAATAGGGAGACAGAGGAGGGGGGCTGTGTCCCAGTAAAAGTGCACGCGTGGAAACAGGCCGCAGACCAGTTTGGCCCGCGGGCTGTGGTTTGCCGGCCCCTGGATTAGAGTGTGACGGGGTAGAGGGAGGGTTTCGGACGGGCCTGTCCAGAAAGACCCGAGAGAGCGCTGACCACCGTGAGGGGACGAGCTGTGAGGCCGGGGAAGCCGCGTGTGGAGGCAGGAGGGCTTGCTGGAGCGCTGGAGCGGGGAGGAGGTCGCATGAGCGGTGGGGGCCGAGCAGGAGGTGATGGCAGACGGGGGAAGGGCTAGTGTGCCGGGACCTTCGGGGCCACCTCGGTGGCTTCCTTCATGATTCCTGAGAATGGCTGCTCCAGCAGGGGACTCATAGTTCATTCGTCTCACTTCTTACTATCCTTCACGCCATCCCCAGTCCGTTTTAGTCCTTATCGGCAGCCTAAAGTGTGCAACTTAAGAACATCTCTGTTTCCCAGCACCCTCACCTATCTCTGTTCACTTGGTCTCTTGTTCCTGCTCCTACGGTTAAGCTTCACAGAGGCCTCCCATTTGTTGACACAACCCTTCCTCTTGGCTTCTCTCCCTGGTCCATTCCCGTCATAGCCCCTGGAAATACCCTCCCCTCCCTTCTCTCTCTCATCTCCCTTGCCCGAAGACTCCACCCTTTGAACCCCACTCTCCGCCATCTTTATATCCGTCCCTGAATAGGTGAATGGGGCGAAAAGCCACACATCACGACAGATTGGCTTCCTTCGAAGTTCTGGATCCCAAGCCTCACACAGTCTCTCCGCGCCGTCCAGCGGTCTGACTCTGGTCTCCAGCCAGCTTCCAGTCCTCTTGTCTGCGATGACTCTTTCATACTTGTCTTCTCAAAGCTCCCACATGCCTGCCTCTCTTTCATTTTTGCCCGATGGCCTTTCTTGCTTCATTGGAAAAAGAAGGTTTTCAGATGAAAACTTTGGCCAGTCCATCAGCAGGTCTGCTGTCGCAGCATCTGCCCCATCTCCTTTTCTTCCCTTGCCTTACGTGAAGCAAGTCTCCCCCTTCCCGTCAGAGACTGGTCCCTTCTCTTCCATTCCGGTCACTAATGCTTCTCCTCTCCTCTCCTTTCCCCACGAGTCTCCCTGTCCCACTGCGCCAGTCTCCTGCAGCCACAGGCGAGCTAACCTCTCGATTTTAAACCAACACCCTCTTTGGATATCCGATCCCCATCCAGCATGCCATATCATGTTTAAAAAAAACGTTAAAAAGAAACTGGTGAAACTGGTTTTAAATAATACATTTTATTTAACCCAGTACAGCTAATTATCATTTCACCCTGTATTCAGTAGAAAAGTATTGAGATATTTTATATCCTTTTTTAAAAATTTTTATTTATTTATTTGAGTGAGAGAGGGCACAAGCAGGGGGAGGGGCAGAGGGAGAGGGAGAAGCAGGCTCCCTGCTGAACGGGGAGCCCGATGCGGGGCTCGATCCCAGGACCCTGAGATCATGACCTGAGCCAAAAGCAGACGCTTAACCAACTGAGCCACCCAGGTGCCTCTTTATGTCCTTTTTTAAAAACTAAATCCGGGGTCTGTTTTACACTGTTAGTGCATCTCATCCAGGACTTATCACATTTCACGTGCTAGCGGCCCCTTTGTTGGGCAGCAGAGGCTTACACGTTCGGTCTTGACTCTGCTATTCTGCCCCCTCTTCCCTCACTTCCACATCCATTACGCCGCTGGTACTGTTCTTACAAAGCTCACTGATGACTTCCACTTTACCAGCCAATGGATATTTCTCTGTCTTGTTCAACCTTTGAGTAGCATTCAACTCAGTTAACCACCAACTTCTTGAAATAATTTCACTCCTTGGCTTTCTTGACGCCATTTTCTTGTATTCTGTCTCTACCTTTGGCTTTTCCTAATCTTCTTTGGTGTCTTCTTCTTCCACCCCAACCGTTAAATGTGGTGCCTCTTCTCAGGGCTCATTTCAGGGCTCTTCTGTAAATAACAGTCTCTCCCCCAGTGTGTTCATCCATCTTGTGGTGTTTGAAGTCTCATATATGTTGACAGCTCATAGGCCTGTGAATGCCTGACCTACTTGTCTTCTCTGTGCTCCGTAGTGATGTAAGCAACTGCGCCTGACCTCTCTGATGCGAAGTCTTACTGGCATCTCCCACTGACTGTGTCTAAGATAGAACTCATGATTTCCTTTTCTCCCCTAGTCTTTTCCACCTCCGTAAATGGCACCACTATCTACCTACCAGAGTTAACATGCTTGGTAACGTAAGAATTGTCTTGGCTTTTTCCTATACCTCTGTATTCTTTTTGTCCTTAATTCTGCCTGATCTTTTTCCAGAATAAATCTTATGTTCATCCTTTCCTCCCCATCACTAGAGATACCACCACGATCCAAGCCCCCAAGCATCTCTGCTGGCTTTTGGCAGCAGCTTCCTGGCAGGTCTTACTGCCCCCATCCTTGCCTGTCCCCCCAGGATCCAGAGTAATCCTTTAAGAAATGTAAATTAGATGATAGGTCACCTCACCTGAAAACATCTCTAAGATTTCCTTTTGGACATGGATCAAATCCAAACTACCTATTATCGTGTCCTACCTGACGATTTTCTTGCCGGTGTTTCTAGCTTCAGCCCACACTGCTTGCCTCCCCGCTTAGAGTGCTGCTTCCATTCCCATTGTCCTTTCTCGAAAGTCCTTCCTGTCAGCGTTTATTCCTTCGGTGTCTATGTGTTTGCCTTTTCTGGAATCTGTCCCCCAGCTTTTTGTGTAGCCGGCTTCAGTTCATGCAAAGTAGTTCCTTTCTGTTACAGTCTCTGAGAGCTTCCCATTTCCTCCTTCATAGCATGGATAACAGGTCTTAATTACTTGTTTACATTTTATTTTTTGACTCCCCTACTATAATGTTGACTTCATGAGAACAGAGAGCAGTATCTGTTTCCTGCCGAGGATATCACCTGGTATACTGTGGACACTCAGTAATACTTGAGTAAATTAAAGCAAGGATAAAATAAGGAACAGAAGCTCAACAACAGCAATTTAGGCCATGTAGAAACTGGAAACTTCACCATGTCAGACTCCATAAGATATTCCCATAAGCCTGGGGGAAATAATAAAGAGAACGATGATACATGGTTTAGTGGTATTGATAGCCTTTGCAAAATTCTGGAAAGCACTAAATATAAAAAACAGGGCAAAAGATATGAACCAGTAATTAGTAGAGAAATAGAAATGACTCACATGCCTAAGAAAAACTACTCGTTTTTCCCAGTATCCACAAAATGCAAATTAAAGGATGTCATCTTGCCTCACGTTTTCAGAGATTATGTTATAGTTGGGGCAAGAGAATTTACGTGTAGTTTCAGGGAACATACATTCGAAAGAGTCTTTCTGGAAGGCACTGTGGCAGAGCTTCTGACTTTCTTCCTTGATGGCGACTTACGGTCTCAGTACTTTTTGCCTGGCACTCCCAGGCCAAAAGAAATACCCAGCGGTCCAGTTTATGAAGTAGTTAGGTCCAAACAAAAGTTGTGTGTCACCGCTGTCACTATTTGCCTTGAAAATTTTAAGTATTCCTTCCCGTGCCCGTGAATTTGCTGCCCAGCCGCTGTGTGTGGTTTGGAAGCTGGTGATACTGAGCGTGGTCAGGAACCTTATTTTATTTTATTTTATTTTATTTTATTTATTTATTTATTTTTTTAAAGATTTTATTTATTTGCGAGAGAGAGAATGAGAGAGAGCACATGAGGGGGGGAGGGTCAGAGGCAGAAGCAGGCTCCCCGCCGAGCAGGGAGCCCGATGCGGGACTCGATCCAGGGACTCCAGGATCATGACCTGAGCCGAAGGCAGTCGCTTAACCAACTGAGCCACCCAGGCGCCCCAGGAACCTTATTTTAGAAAGGTCCTGATTCAGTAGTTTCTTCTTTAGGAACCTGCCCTAAGGAATACAGATCTATTCCGTCACTCCGTGACAACCATCGCATGTTGGTTTTGGTGGATTTACTTCAAGGAGTTAAGTGTTCTTATCTGAGGTTGCACGTCCCTCTCGGAGCTGGTACCAAGCGGGCAGGTGTCTGTACTGACCCCCCTGCGGGGCTGTGGGCACAGTGCCCGTAACTGCACAGCAAAAGCAGGTTTAGTTTTGAAGTTGCAGTCTCCCATTTGAACACCGAGCACTTGATCCCGATTGACTGAGTTCTTTTATTTTTGCCGGGCTAAGAAGTTTAAGAGGCTTAAAGAGCTTTTGCTTCTCCTCCTTCTAAGATTAAGTTGCTGCTCGTTGCTAAGTGCTGGCCTGGTCCCCCTTCCTGCTGGCTCGGGGGCCTGGCATGGGTTAGGAAAGCTCTCGGACCTGAAGTTGGCCCCACTGTCCCCTGGCCGTAAACCGATGCCCAGTCTGCCCACTGCGGGCTCGTGGTTGTGCTTCTCGAGCGAGATCATATTTGTAGGGCTGCTTTCCAATGGTAAGTAGTAGTCATCACGGCTCTTATGATTTTTTTCAATCTATCTAAAAATCTTGGGGCTTCTTTTTCCCTTTGTATTCCATATACTGTTTTCTCAGCTATACAAACTGTGATGGTTTTGTTTCTCTTGAGAGGGACGTTGACACTGAAGGTGATCTTAAGCAACTTGCGCAAGCCTCTGCGTCAGGTGGGGTCCAGAGGTGATTCTGGAGCCCATGGTGTTGGACTGTGCAAGGCCTGGCTTGGTTTGGTTTGCGCCTCCTGCCTGTCACACGCTAAGCTAAGCGCTTGCCACACTGATTGGTTCAGCTCCGCAGCAGAGCTGCATTATTTAGGTCCTCTTGTCATGCCTCTTGGATACAAGGAGGCCGGAGCTCAGGGAGGTGGAGGAATTTGCCCCAGCTCCCCTTGCTTGTAAGTGGCAGAGCCTGGGTCTTAACCCAGCCCTTCTGAGGCGACAGCACAGGGTCGATCTGCTACTTTGTGACATGACCTTATTTTGTCAGGACGTGGCTTTCTGTTTCATGAAGGTGTCATAAATATTTTTACTGTTAGGAATACAGCCAAGCCTTTTATTCGTAGGGTCTCAAATTCACATTTAAGAACATAGACTGCCATCCAAGTGTGGGTTGAAGCAGAACTCACAAGTCTGTTGGTTCAGACAGATTATTCTGTGGTTTTCCAAAATACACTCCCCCCCCTTAGATATCTAGAAATATGGGTGCTATCTATAATCATTAAAGTATCGTTGCTGTATAAAAGTTGCCTTTGTTGTCCAGAGTTGTTATCTCCATTGTATTCAGTGTGACCAATGATCTTTTTAAAAAAGAAATGAAATGTAACGTGATAAAGTCTGACAATCTTTTTTTCCTCTCTCCTTTCTAGGCATTCTTTAATGGCCGACTGAAGGCCAGAGGGAACATCATGCTGAGCCAGAAGCTTCAGATGATTCTTAAAGACTATGCCAAGCTCTGAAGGACACACTACATTATGAATAAGAATAGAAAAATTAAATACTCTCTTCACCCAGATATGCAAAACTGATTAAGCAAAAGTGATCAAAACTAAGACACAGGGAAGCTGCTTACCATTTTCAGGTTTTAGATAACTTCTGAGATTTTAATTTTTTACTAATTTTTCACATTATCATTCTTTTTACAAGAACCTGTAAGCCAGCACATAATATCTTTCTGTTCTTAGAGCTCTGTCTTCATAATAAAAAATTTTCACCCAAGTCTTTAGAATTGTGATAGCATTTATAAGTGGAAAGGAAAATTAGATGAGGAAAGGCCACTTTGAAGTCTTTTACACTTTGTTTTGTTATTTTCTGGTCTCTAACTTACTGATACCCCAGTTTTAACATGAATTGTCACACGTATTCACTTGTTTTTCATACTTTGCTGTAACAGTGTCCTGCTTTAAGGGAGGGGAAGGGTCTTTATGTTCCCAAATAGTTTTCTTTCTTCTCTCCTCTGTTTTGCTGGAAATCCTTTATTTTCATATAATGCCTGTAAATACCAAACGGTTTTCTTGCTTAATAAGTAATCGCGAATCATAAAGATGTGACTAGCAAGTACTGTCATGCTGGTATTTTCCCCACCAGGTAGCTCAGGTGATGTGTGCCGAGGAGATGCCCTTCTGACGGGTTGGCTGCAGAGGTGACCAGCAAGTGGGGTGCCGAAGTCAGGGAAGGCGTGAATGCCCCTCATAGAGCACAGCTGAGGGGCACATGTGTCGGGGGGAGGGGGTGGGGGCGCTGTTACGGGCTCAGTTCCCCGGGAGACAGACTTCAAGATGGAGATCTTTGGGCAGGAACTGAATTTGGAGGTGTTCTTGGGACTGACACCTGGGGGTGGTGGTGGCACAGGGAGACATTCGGCAGTGGTGGGCTGCATGACAACGCCCTGCGGAGGGACCATGACCTGGGGCCAAGCCGGTTGATGATTTGCTCAGCCGGGGCGGGGGTGGGGGGTGGGGGGTGGGGGAACACGGGTACTGTCTTCGGTCTGAAGAAGGCTTCTGGGAGCGTGGCCTGGCACTTTGCTTCAGGGAGCAAGACGGAGGGAGCTAGAGCTCAGGGATCAAAGGAAATGGTCTCAGAAATGTGGAAATGAAATATTTACTCAGTGGTGGAGCCTGGCGGAACGCCTTGATACATTATGGCCGACTTAATGAAAGAGCAGGATATGTAGAAGTATAGAAGAAAAGTTATGTATTTGGCAATTATGCCTTAGCCTCTTGATCTCTGAATGCTATCATAAAATTAACTGTAATTTAGAGTGATTTATTGTTATACCAATTGAATTTGTTTTTAAAGTAGCAGTCTTTTAACACTGGTCTTTTATAATAGAAGTTGTTCCTGTTGAGCTTGGAAGAGCTTTGTGTCCTTCCAAATAGAAATCGCATATTAAAATTAATCAAATGCCCCACATTAATGAAAGTGTTGAATATATACCCTAGATACTTAAAACATACTAAGAAAGATGTTTTAATTATCTTACTAACCTATCTCTGTCAATCTTACAGGTCAGAGTATCCACATTTAGCAGCTTCTTCTTAATCCTTGTGCTCCTTAATCTTTTCTGTAATTTCAATATTGTTGATTTCACCAACCTCCTTAATTCTCTTCTTCCCTTTTATCCTCCAGTGAGAAAGGTATTAACTTCTTAATGAACCTGTGGGTTAATCTCCCTGTCTTCTACTTGTCTCCTTTATAATTTCCTCCGTCTCTCTAACTTTTCAGGATTATCGATCCAAGTTTCAGCCCTCCTTACTTTTTGCTAGACATTTTTTTCCTGGTTGGTTTCATCCACTGTCCTGTCTTCAGCCATCACCCGAGTGCTGGTTGCTCTGAGTCTGTATCTTAGCCCTGATCCCTCCGTAATCCCCCAGTCCCACCCACAGCTCCAGATCATTACTGGACTGTTGTCCCCTGGTTACTGCGCACGTGTGTCCAGGATAAACGCGTGATCCCCCCGCTCCCGCTCCTGAATGTGCACAGAGGCCAGCTAAGAAACCAGTCACCTTTGACTTTCTCATCCTCACCCCCTCCATCCCCTCCTTCACTTCCACTTCCTAAATATTCCAGGGTTTTCCAGCTGCCGCTACCCAAGTGTGCCCTCATGGTGGATGGCTCATTTTAGTGGCTTTCCAGCTGGTCCCAGTTTTTCACCACCCACCCTGCCACCCACAGAGGAGCCCTACTAGTACTCACACCTGAATAAATACGTAACTTCCCAACCTAAAAACCTGCGAGAGTTCCTACTTGGTCACCTTCCCATCAGGGCTCTGGCATGGTTCATCATGGTCCATGAGCTGGGACTCTTGTTGTGGCGGCCAATAATAAAACCAGTTCAAATTGGCACAGCACAACTTTTCCGCATAACTGAAGAAACCTCTGGAAGGGTGGGTTTGTTTTTGAAGGGGCTTCATCAAACAATTCACTGTGATCCTGGCCCAGTTCCTTGTCATCTCTCTGGCTACTTAGTATCTGCAAGCTCCCATGTGGTACCCTCCCTGGCAACTCCAGGTCATTCCTGTTTGATCACATGAAAGCAACCAACAGGTGCAGCCTCAGAGTCACATTCCAAGTCAACCAGCAGAATAAAGAGCACTGGGTTCTCTCATAAGCCCCAGCGAAGGCCTCATCTAGTCTCACTAGCTGTGCTTGAGTTAGAAGCCAATCCTTGAATCATCGCTATAGCGATGTTGGATATGCTGATTGGCCTGTGTGTATCACGGCCCAAAAGTATAGCTAAGCATAGTGTATTGGAGCTCCCTCAGAGGACCCTCCTGGTTTTGATGATTTTCTGGGAGGACTCACGAGACTCAGCATAGTCATATTCGTGACTATGATTTATTCTGTCAAAATGATACCAAGCAAAATCAGAAAAAGGAGCGAGGTCCAGAGGAATTCAGGTACAAGCTCTCAAGACTTCTTTTCCCAGAGTCACGCAGGACACGCCTAATCCCCCCAGCATCAAATTGGGACAACACGTGTAAAATGCCTACCAAGACTCAGCATCTAAGGTTTTAACTGAGAGGCTGGTCACACAGGCCATGCTTCTCTTGCCAGAGCACATACCAAAATCCCAGACTCATGAAGGAAAGCAGGTATTTAGCATAAACCCCATTGGGACAGTTTGGGAACGGGGAGCCGCTCTTCTCAGGGAGGGAATGGGGGGAGTCCTCCCGAAATCTAAGTTCCCAGATGCCAGCCAAGGGCCAACCTTGCAAGCAAACCTTTCTAAGGACAGCAATCTAAGGGATGCCCTGTTAGCATCCAAACTACATGTCCTGAGAGCTAATCAGGTGTGATATCTGAGGACATCTCGACTACGGGGGACCCAAATCACAATGGTCCACTCCAAAGGCTCCTTAACTCTCATGTCTCCCAACTTGCTTTTTTAACTTCATCACCTGGTAAACTCTATCCTTAAGCCTCCAAATGTGCACCTGCGTGAAGCTGTTGCTAACATGGTGAGAGCAATCTCTGACTTCTCATAGAACTTGGCTTATCTATTTTAAAGCAAACAATCTGAGAAAGCAGATTTTTATCCTGGACAGAAATAGATTTGAGGAATAATGTATTTGGTAATACCACCCCAACAAAAAGCTTACCGTTTAGGCCAACAAATAGAGCAGCAAAATTAAATGGTAACCCAGCCCCACTGAGAAATTCTGACATTGAGAAACCTCAAAACCTGAAAGTTAATGGAGAGTGACTTTCTGAAGAGCAGAGCATTTTAGGTCCATGTGGACTAAGCTATTTAAGAGGGGAGAGGAAAGAAAAAAAAACTTTTTAAAAACCCATAGAGGGGCAAAAAAGAAAAATTTTTCAAGTCTTGGCTAAAAGTGGAATTAGATTTACATTACACATATATGCAGCATGTTGTCTTTTGACATTACAGGTCAGTCAGTCTTTAAAGGACCAGTTAGTAAATATTTTAGGCTTTGTAGGCCACATATGGTCTCCGTAGCATCTTTTTTTTTGGTTTTAAACAGCTTTGCACAAAATGTAAAAACTTGTACAAAAACAGGCCGGGAGTTGGATTTGGCCTGTAGAGTGGGTTCCCCGGGGATAGATGTTGAGTGCTGATTAAGAAAACAATATTTATGGGGCTCCTGGGTGGCTCAGTCGGTTAAGCGACTGACTCTTGATTTCAGCTCCAGTCATGATCGCAGGGTTGTGAAAATGAGTAGAGCTGTGTGTTTAAGTGACTGGAATCTTTGACCTTTTCAAATAATCACTGGAAGCTGGCCCAGTGGCAACCAAGCCTCAATCCAAAATGAGCCACCACCTCTGCCCGTGTCCCGAGGGGGGACACATGGACTGTGAGAGTAGAGGGTGCTTTACCTTTGGGTTCTGATTGGGAGATGAGAGGTTGGGGTGTTGGTACCCCTATCCTCTTGCCTGCTGTCCCCTGTCAAAATAGGCCTCTCTTTTTCTCCTGACTAGTTCAGAGTCCTCCATTTTCTTGGCCTGTGGAGGTGAGTGAGGACACATGGGAACACATCATTTCCCCTCACTCTTCGCCTGTCAGCTTAATATGGGAGCAATGCCAGCTATCTGGTTTTTGCTACATAGGACCATATGGATTCCCAAAGAACAATTTTCAAGACCCTTAATGGATGGATCCTCAGTCAAGGAGTATTCACTGGACTCCTAACGTGTACTGGGCATTGGAGATTCAGACATGAACAAGGAAGAGAGAGTATCTGATGTAATGGAACTGATTACATTGAATGAGGTTACGCAATTTTACTGTTATTGTTTCTTAAGACATTATCATTTAAAGAAATTCCTCTTCTTTAGTAGACCGTGGCTTCTCAGGTTTAATTTCAATTGCATTTTTTAATCAGAGAATAAACATTTGCCTATGAGTTGTTTAAGGAATATGTATTTCAAAGCGCCTGGCTGGCTCAGTCGGTGGAGCGTGTGATTTGATCTCGGGGTTGTAAGTTTGAGTCCCACGTTGGGTGTAGAGATTACTTAAAAAATAATAATAAAATTAAAAAAAAAAAAGAAATATGTATTTCCCCACCTGTGAACTGTCAGTTTCTAACTTGTTGGAGTTGACAATGAACAAAACCCATTTGGGGGCGCCTGGCTGGCTGGGTGGTAGAGCATGCAACGCTTGGTCTCAGGGTGGAGAGTGCAGGCCCTGGGTTGGGCATGGAGCCTACTTAAAAACAAAAACAAAACAAAACTAACCCCAACCCATTTGGCCGTTG